GGAATACAATTTCCAAATTGGTAAGCTGATCGAAATTGAAGTGCATTTAAATAGTTGGTATGTATTGCTAAGCAACAGCTGCATTAACGTTATCGGTATCGATTTTTGCCAACTATCAACAACAGAAAGGTCACAGTATTGACACAGTAGTATTTTCACAACTTCATTAACTATTTGAGCTGTTTCAGTCCATTGCTAAAGAGCAGCTATGTTATCGTTATCGATCTTAAGCCACAATCAACAACATTTTGGCCAATAAGTAAAAGTAACAGAAAACAAAAATCTATTTGAACAACTTGCGAGAGAGCACTTATATCGTTATCGTTATCGTTATCGCTAGCAATAGGCAATAATCGAAATTTACCAACACATTCATTGCCTTGTCTCTAAATGTGTCACTAAAATTTAAGTCAAATTAACTAGCTCTGTCTGGATACTAAAATCGACATCATTTTTGCTTATAAATCGATAGACGTTGACTGACATATGATATAAAAGCAAAACATTTCCGAATCGTTTTGCATATAATATTTTTTAAATAAATGTTGTCAGTCGATTTTAAATCGATTCTTTTCTTACTTTGTCCTAAAGCCTCCATAGAAACAATCGATCTATTACAAATGATACTATAATAAATATATTTTAATACTCGTTCATGAAGTGAAAAGGGTATATTGCTTTTGCTTAATATTTCGGGCCAGACTATATATATACATGTAGAGTTCGTTCGGCGGAGAAAGTATAATGATTCTTTGCATACGCCCATCAAAGGCAAGGCAAATCAGGAAGACAAACTTTATCTTCATCCATTTTAAAGCTAAGAACTAAAAAACAAATTAACCAAATTAGATTAAACAACAAATTGTATATATACAGGCCGCCGATAACAAACATGTTTAGTTGAAAGGCTGCTTCAGTTGGTCTATACTGAAAGCTCTATCAGGCAAAAGGGGAAATACAATAAATTTACATTTTTTAAGTTTATTTGTTTGAATTTAAATTTAAAACATACAAATCTATTTATGATATAAAAACTGCAACATGGAAAAAAGTTTAAAGCAATTAACATAAAAAACAAACAATAAAAAATACGTTCGCGCCTTGTTGTATACTCAAATATAATAATTAGTTTAAAAATTGATGTAAAACATGCAAAAGAATAAAACAATTTGTGTATAATTGAACGAAAATGTTGACAACTAGTCGTAACAAGCACTTTGACAGCCAGTTGCTAGCACAAATGACGATTGATTGCGAACTGCGAACTGCGAATTGCGAATTGCTTCCCTGGAGACCAGTTCCTTTTTTGAACATAATTATAATGCGCTCTGCATGCGAAAAAGGGAAGAAGCGAGTAAGAGAGAATGGAAAAATGAAAAAAATGCTGCATTTTGCAATCGGAATTTAATTTGCATTTAAGTAGCAAACAATAACAACAACAACAACAACAACAACAAGGGCAACAGTAAAGCCCATTTGCATGCTGACTGACTGACTAACTGGGCGAAAAAGAAGAAGAGCGAGACATGGCGCAGAATACAGTTATAAGCATAACTGCTGCTGATGTCGCTTGACACGCCACCAGCGCCCTCTGTCGTCCAATATGCGCACTATCTGGCTGGCATTGCATTGCAGCTGCCAAGGGAAACAACAAAAAGTGTTGCCTACTTTTTTGGTGCTGCAGCTCAAGTGATGCGAAAGCGGACATGTGTGTGTGTGTATAGGCATTGTTGTTGTTGTTGTTGTTGTTGTTGTTGTTGTTGTTGGCGCTGCTGCTGCTGATGACAATATGTAATGACAAACGGAGATTTTTACTGGCTTTTTATGACTTATTCACACGCTCGCTCACGCACACACCCCAACGCCCAACCAGTCCTCGCAATCACAATTACACACACATACATACGTACACACACACAAAGACAGAGCGACATGCTCGTCGTCAACTCGACTTCAAATTGTGACGGGCAAGGCCAACAGCAGCTGGCAGCCAAAGCTTAACACCCACTCACAGCATCGCTCTTCTAGCCCCAAATTGTGCCTGCCTAGCACTTGCCGGGGCTCTTCACAACGCACACGCTACCTCGCTACCTCTCCACCTCTCTGCCTCTCTCTCTCTGTCCCTCTTACTGTCGTTCGTATACTGCCATATGCTCGTTGTCTCGCTCACAAGCAAGGCTGGCCTGGCCCGGCCTGGTCTGGGTGTGTTGAAATGTTCTTCATGTTGTTCAGCTTACAGCCAAAACGGAACACCTTTAAATGTGTGCGTACGTGTGTGTGTGTGAGCGTGCGTTTGTATTAAGTGCATGTCTCACAAAAACGGCAATGTTTAATTAAAAGCGATGGCAACGCATGGAAGTCACCAAGAGAATCGAGTCAAAATTTTGTGCAACAATTTCTCACTCTTTCTCTTTCTTTCTCTGTCTCTCTATCACTCTTTTTCTGTTTAAATCAAACTCGATTTAAACCAAACTCCTCCCACATGAGTGAACGCTTGAAGGGCTTCTCAATTTCACAGAATTGAATTCAATATGTTGTTCATTAGTCGAATTTCGATATCTGGCAAAGGCACAATTATTATATCATGCCCGAAGGCGGTTTGACAATAACCAAATATTCCAATTAGCAAAAGCTAAAGAGCAGCACAAATTCCAATTCGATTGTAAATGCATTTTGTGTGCTCTCTGAATTAATTAAATTCTGCATATTTATAGAATTGTGTACGTGCGCGTGTGCATGTGTGGGTGGGTGTGTGTGGGGCTATTATAGGCTACAAGCAATCTACTTAAAAATAGCTTCAGCAAATATAGCCCTGGCTAGGATAATGCCACGGCCAAACATTTGCGTGCCATTCAATATCAAGTTAAGCCTTCCATCTACATATATGCTTATGCATGTATACATCACAGCAGATACATTTAATCAGTGCATCAAGTAAGCATTAAATACACAAATATATAGTTACATATGCGTAATGCTCCAATTGATTCGAGCATATTTAGAGAAAGATTAGGCCACTCGTCAGCCCGATCTCACTGCATTCAGAACTTTGCAAGTGAAATAATAGCTGAATGAAGGCAATTAAAGCTGTTTTAAGCCAAGTAACTGTGCAATAAGTCCACTCACAGCTTGCTGCATTTGTGTATAAGCCTATCTAAGCCCTTTTGGCGGACTGAGAACTGGAGTTACTGATTCGTTTACCCAGCTTTAAGCGTCGATTTAATCATGAACTATCGTAGCTCAGTTCCTATTTACTAGTTCAATTTGATAAATCAGTTTATCTGAACAACTTAGCTAATTCCCCATTCAGTTAGTTCAACTAGTTCAGTTGAAGAGTTGCGAGTTGTTCAATTTAATGAACTAGCTCAGTGTTCTTTACATTAGTTCAGCTAGGACAGCATGCAAGCTGCTAGTTGCAGTTCCCTTAATGTAGTTTCAATTAAAGAACTTGGCTTGTTCATTTTAGTAATCGCTACTATAACAAAGTTCTTTTGAGTACACAACTTTGATTCCATTTAATAAAATGCTTCCTCTTTCTGGGCTCTATTAGTTATTCAAATATGACTAGTTCAGTTAACTGTTTTTTGTCCACTGTTCACTGAGTTTATTGAGTAACTCATTTTAATGAACTAGCTCTGTATATTTTGGCACTATGAAAAGTTATTCTCTTAAATTTGAAAAAGTTTCACCGAACAAATGTCGAGCTCAATCGCCGAGCCACATAAGCGGCTATGAAAAGAGCTGTTATCTTCAAATACAATAAAAAAAGCAGTAAGAAAAGTGTTTTAATATCAGCAAACAAATAAGTTGAAGTGGAATATTCGAAAACAAAGCTGCAGCTTAATAATACAAGCGGTCAGATGTAAAATACATACATATTGGCTCGATAAACAAGATTGTCTGGTCTGTTTTGAAGTTGAAGTTGAAGTTGAAGTTGAAATAAAAAAAAAACAGACAGTTGACTTTTCAGCAAACCAATCCTAAAATACTCTGGTTTACATATATGACGAAGGAGCTGAAAGTGCCGATTACAAGCCATATGAGTTCTGTAGCACTTCGGTCATTTCAGTGCAACTGAAGAAGAATCGTTCCTTTTTCGAGGCGTGAACTATATAGCTTATTCACCAGTCAACTTTGAGAGCTGCTAATTATAATTCATTGTAATGAACTAAGTCTTTTATTCGTCGCATCGTGAAATATAACACCCATTAGCTATGTACCAATTGAGCTGTAAGTTGTAAATTCCAGTTCAATTTGATGAATAAGAACCGTTCATTGTAAAATAAGTTATAGACCGATTTATACACTAGATCATTTTAAGAGTTGTTGACTGTAGTTTAATGTAATGAACTAGCTCAATTGTTCATTTTCGAGTTTGTTCAGATACACGTGTACGCCGTGTCCTCATAACCTTTTCAAAGTTTCACAATTAATTGCAGATTATTATATTGATGAAGGATGATCCCATGTAGAGGGTATTCTATGGTCGGTCATGCATGGATTGGTTAGTTTATGAATTAGCTATTTGGTAAGCGATATGCGTGAAGCACTTGGTGGCGTTCAAGGTGCTTTTTTGGGACCATTGCCAATGCTCGCTAGCTCAAAGCTCGCCCACACAAAGGACACTTGAAAGGGATGACCAACCCATAAAGGGGAAGGGGAAGGGGAAGCGGGAAAGAGCGAGCGGGAGGGTAAGGGTGTTTAAGAGAGGAGGAGGAGGGGACACAGAAGGTAAAACCAAAGGCCGAATTCTCGCTTCTCGCCTCTCGCCTGTCGCCTGTCGCCTGTCGCCTGTCGCATGTTTTTTTGGGAGGAGGCAGGCAGCTCCTTGGGGAACGAAATCAAAGTAGATGAGCGCCATTGTTGTTGCTGCCATTTGCCGGCCAGAGTGTGTGTGAGTGTGAGTGTGAGTGTTACTCTTTGTGGACCATTGTCATAATGGACTGTGCTTCATCAGAGAATGTAAGCTGTCACTCAGTCCATGATTGCGGCTAACTTACCTTGCCCTGCGACGAGGATATCGTTGAGGCCGACGGCGTGCCGGAGGATTGTGCGCTTAATGTGGATCGGTTGCTGTTCGCTTGCATTGCGCAGCTCCTTTGGCACCACTGGCACCACTGGCACCCCTAGCTCCTGTAGCTCCTTTGGCTCCTTTGGCTGCCAGGCGCAATCAACTAGTCTTCGCTGCAGTTCGTGTTGCAATTGTTGTAAACATTTTTGCAATACAATTGCTGCTCAGCTAAATTATTGCGCAGCTATTTTCTATTTCGTATCAATTATGCTTCATCTGCTTATTATATTTATCTTATTTCGTATTGCCAATTGGCTGCTTTTCTCTTCTATTCAGTATGTTGGCGTGGAACTAAGCTGAAAGTAGAAAAAGTAAAAAAATCTTTTAGCCAAAAGTATTTGTAACTTCAGTAAGTGGAGTCGAGTCGAGAGTGACCGACCAGCCAATACCCTGAACCCACTGCGCGGCGCTTGCTTTTTCTATAACATAAGACTTCTTTTATGCATTCCCATTCTAGTGCAACTAATACAAAAACTTGAAACTATATAAGCTTTTGTTGTTTGCGAGTTAGTTGAGATAGATGGACAACCATCGGGGCATGACTATATGAGTCATCGAATAATTTCATCGTTGCTGTCGGGCAATATATATTTATACATCAATTTATATATATATTGCCTTATATGATCTACTTTGCCTACATCAGCGTGTTAAATATATTTATTAAGTCTATATATTTGCAAAATGAAGGCCTTAAGTAGCGTAAGGCATTTAACAGCATTCTTAGCTCTCAGGGAGCTCACAATAATTCTGAAATAATTTCTCTTGCATAAATGGAATTTACAACTATAAATATAACGGAATATATATAGTATTTATGATAATATATTAACATAATTAATTAATATTTTTATTTAATAATTTACAATAATTCTTTTGCAAATTTTAAATTATTTAAAATATTCAATATATATAATAATATATATATAATAAAAAAATATATAAAACAAATGAATATAACTATATAACTATATAACTATTCAATAAAACTAAAAATTGTTAAATTTAATTTACATTAATTTAATAATATATTTAATTTAATGATTTATACTTAAATAAAAATAAGAATAATTATTTTATACGATTAACAATATTTCTAATTTAATTTACTTTACTTTAACAACATATTTGATTTATTCATTTACAATCAACTTTAGAATTTAAGCATCCTTAAAAATATTTTATTTTAAATTTAAAGTTTAAAAATATTCAAAATTTATTAAATCATGTGCGATAAAATAGTAACAGAAATATTTATTTGAAAATCATAATAAAACAACAGTGAACAAGCTAGTTGGGCCTTTTTACTATTGTATAATATATGCAAATCGATAAAAATCTATCAAATCTGTGCAGTTTTTCAAGTCTCTTGCCGTAAATTTGATGTCAGCAGATGGAGGGACAGCACAATGCATAGGGCACAAATCCAATGTGTTTTCTTTGGATAAGTGAGTGACATAAAATATGATAGAATAGAGCAAGACTTACATATTAAATCTATTAAAATCTAGGAATTCGTTTTAAAGCTTTTCGCTGTGAATAATGCCAAGCAAAAGGGATGGAATTAATTAACAGAAAACAAAAGAAGGCAAGACAAGACATGACAAACCTAAAAGACTAAAGACTAAAAGACCATGTCAAATTTGACATGCAGTTCAAGACGAGACAGTCGCTGGCTAACAAAGAGCTGACCTATTATATAGGGATGCTACGGAAATTGAACACTTTGGCATACAATGCTCTTTTTGTATGGGGGACAGCTCTTAGCCAACATACGATTGAGCGCTTAAGCCTTAGTTTGGTTTTAGTTGTTGACAACCGAATGATAGAATCGGAATTTAAGGCTGTCGTCTATCTGCTAAATAAGTGTGACCCATAATTGTCTCGATTGCCTAGAGTTCCGCTTGGCCGGGTCTCGAGTGCCTGTCAGCCTGTCAGCCTACAGGGTATGCAACACTTTTTTTTGGCAATCTAAAGGAAACGAAAAACGTTCGTGAAATGTGCAAAGGAAGCAATAAAAAGAACACATACACAACCACGCACATATACAGAGAGAGAGAGAGAGAGAGAGAGAGAAAAGGGCTAGCTCTACGTACAGCGACCGCATCCTTCGAGCACAAATCAAAAGAAAATGTCACAATCGCCGTCGCCGCAAACGCCGCCAAGCGCAGCTACTGCGCAGCAACTGAGGTCCAAGCAGTTGACTCTCAGCGGACAAAGCGTAATGCCTAGAAATAGGGCTAGGTCATTTACGAAGCCCAAAACTGTGTGTGTGTGTGAGCGTGGTAGCTTCTAACAAGGACATGTCCACCAGTTCAAATACATATATAAACACACTTACGCACACAAACACACATAAGCAAAGAGACAAGCCGCGCTGCTCTGTTAAAGGATGCTGCTGCAGCGACGATAGCAGCGCATTTTACTTGCGAGGCGACTATAACTGCTGGCATACTGCTGGCACGCCCAGCTAAGCAGGGCTAAGCAGTCGCTGCTGTCGCAGCAGCACAAAATTTTATGCCAAGGGCAGCAGCAGCGACCCAAAGCACGTTTTGCGGCGCAGACATAACCTCAACTTCTTGCGCGCTGCTTACCACGCTGCCAGCGTCAACTGCGCTGTTGCTGCCATTGGGGCAGCCATTTTATAGGCCAGGCAACAGCTATTTGTGTGGATTTATCTGCACACACACACATGCATGTATGTGTACGAATTTGATTTATTAGTATATTAACTTTCAAAATTTCAGCGATCGGTCAAAAAAATTAAGAAATACATAAATAAATTTAAATACAAATATTAAAGTAAAGTAAAAATATATCTATATTTAATATATTTAATATATATATAAATTTATATATACATATATGTATATATAAATTTATATATATATATATATATATATATATATATATATATATATATATATATGTGTATGTATTTAATTAGGTTACCCTAAATTTTGGTGCTGCATTCGTTAGGCTAGAACGTTGTTTTGATTTTTAAATTTTGACGTTACGTCTCGTTTTGTTAGCTTTGTGCGTTTCGTTTTGATGTTTGGCTTTGTCGTCTTCCCCATCGACTTAGACTAAGTATTTTGGCTGGCTGGCTGGCTGGTTGGCTGCAGATTGAGCTTTACGCGCTAATTGTGCAGTGTTTCGCGTTGTGCGTTTTCTTTTTATTATTATTTGATTGCAATTTGTTTTATTTGTTGCGATTTTCTAGCTATTTTAACTTGACGCTTTTATGAACATGGCTTTTGTTTGGCATACGAGTAAAGTACAAAAAAAATATAACACGTTCTCGTATACGCGTACACACACACGGACACACACGCTTACTCAAGCACACACACACACGCACACTTAAAGACACGCACGCACGCAGCGAGAAAAAATCTAGTGGCGGCGGCTGCGATGGCAACGCGTTAAACACAAAAAAAAATTATATATAAGCGTTGCGAATGTAGCCAAATTTTTTGTGAACTACTTTTTTTAATGAGCGAACTGAGTTTGCCGTAACGAGACGGTAAAAAAAAACCAACGAAAGCACCAGTCATTAAAAAAAAAAAACAAAAAAAATTAAAGCGGTTGACAATTATTTGAATAGCAGAACCAACTCAGACAAGAAGTTCCGTTTCCGTTTCTGTTACTGATTGGATTCTTGCCGTGCAATTTTGCTGCGCACGCCCGCTTTAACCGCCGTCCGTCGCTCTAAAGTGTGCTACAATTTATGTTGAAATCTTGCGCGTAACTGAACTGAGCGTTGCGAATCGTTTGTACAGCAGCCGCCGTTGCCGTGGCCTGTGCACTGGCGCTGGCTCCGTTTCTGTTTCTGGTTTACGGACTTTGGTTCAGCTGTCAATGCGGCAGCAGTAGCAGCAACACAAACAGCAACAGCAGTATCGCCAGCAGCCGAGGATGCTAATGCTAATGCCGACGCAACGTTGCTGGACCAGCCGAGCCAGTGACAAAGTCAACTACAGTAACGGGTCAAAAGAGAGCGAGAGGCAAAGAGAGAGATAGAGAGAGAGCGGGCGCGAACGCGCGTGCGGTATTGCCGGGATACACAGCATAGATAGCAGCTGCTTGACTACACCTGGCTAAGTAGCATCGCTTGGGCCAATGAATAACATATTTAATATTCTTTTAGTTATTCATTTCAAATAAAATTCTCCTATTGCCGCATTTTCGTTGAACGCGAAAGTTCAACAATCTTGGGTTGCCAGAATATTTGAGAAATGGAGGGTTGCCAGATAGAGCAAATTGCGTATAAGCAAAAAGCCTACTCTGTTATTTTAAATGCTTTGCCACTTTTTTTTCTTCGGTTGCTTTTAAAGTAATTAACGTGTATATAGTGTTAATTTAAAACCCTCAGATATACAAACAGACAATCTTCCAAAGATTGAAAAAAGCTATACATATCTATTTATATATACATATCTGTATCTATATACATATATATATGTATATATCAACTTTATAAGCTTTATAAAAAGCCTATATCACTTATGCTAACCAATGTTATTATAAGGAATATACGGTAGCACTATTTTTATATTTTCGTCATTAACAGTCAACGCAAAATCGAGACAGCAAGACGCATAAATGATCCACACTTTCTGTTAATGCAATTCAGCGCTATTTTATACATTTAACGTATCAGTGCCAACATATCGACCGACCACCATTATTGCTAGTTGTGTGTCGGCCGTCTATCGCCCGTCGAAATAAGTCTATCTGCAAGTTTTTCTCAACATAAATTTTTATTATGTTTAAGAAACATATACGAAAGCAGAAATCAATATATCGCTACTCTTAAAAATTAAGCAAACGAAATCGAGGCAAGCATCTTGCAACTCCAAACGACGTTACGTTAACAAAATAGCCAACGAGCACCAAACAGCAGACATAAAGACTCACATACACTCACGCACGTAAACGATAAAAAACGAAAAACAAAAAAGTCCACTATTTGTAAGAAATACGTACAGGACCAATTCGAAGTTGATCAAGTATATTAAAGTCATCATTGAGCTGATTTTAGCTAAAAAAAAATAAAGGCCGAATACAACGAGCTGTGGTTTTGCCTCTTCCAGTTGAACAGTGTATTGGTGTTCGTGCGTGCGTTCGAGTGTATGTGTGTGTGCATGTGCGTGTGCTGTCTCTGATTGTTTTCTATTGTGTGCGCAGTGCGTGCGTTCGTTTGGCTGAGGGGGCGGGTGGGACAAGTGCAAGTGGCAGCATCAGCATCAGTAGCTAAAGGAGTGAAATCTGTTCAGCCAAATCGGCGAAACAGAACTGTGTAAGTAGCAACAATACGCGCGCATGCTGCCAAGTGGGTGTGGTGGCGGTTGCTGTAGAGGGGTGGTTGGGGAGTGGACATGCAGCGCGTCGTTGACTGCCTTCGTGTTATCATTTTTGTTGTTTTTTTTTTCATTTGCTTATCAAGATTTTGCGTCATTGCTCGAGTTTCTTAAAAGAAGCGCGCGTCCATGGTTGAGCTCTTAATGCTGGCCGAGAACAGACGACGGCAACTCGTATAACAACATCACAACAAGGAGCAGCAGCACTGGCCATGCTCCCCATCAGCGAGGAGCAGCACGTGGACAACAGCAGCAGCAATCAGCAACATGCGAATGCCTCAGATGATGCCGCTGCAGCGGCCGCGAACGGTCTGGCAGATGATAAGTCAGCATTGGGCGCTGAAGCAAGCCTCTGGACAGCACTTTATGACTACAATGCACAGGGCGAAGATGAGCTGACACTGCGTCGGGGACAGATCGTTGTCGTACTTTCCACAGACAGCGAAGTCTCTGGCGACGTGGGCTGGTGGACGGGCAAGATTGGTGATAAGGTATAGTTCGAAAATGAATAGCTAAAAGCAATTAGTTACTCATCAAGTCTTATTCACTTGCCAGGTTGGGGTTTTTCCGCGTAACTTTGTAACAGACGCGGATCCATTGGAATTACCGCATGAAATCGACGAGTCGGAGCTGGATATTAAAGAAGTTATTGGCTCTGGTGGCTTTTGTAAGGTGCATCGCGGCTACTACGACAATGAGGAGGTAGCCATTAAAATAGCTCACCAAACTGGCGAAGATGATATGCAGCGGATGCGTGACAATGTCCTGCAGGAGGCCAAACTCTTCTGGCCGCTAAAACATCGCAATATTGCGGCACTGCGCGGTGTTTGCTTAAAGACAAAACTGTGTCTGGTCATGGAATATGCGCGAGGCGGCAGCCTCAATCGTATTCTCGCTGGCAAAATACCGCCTGATGTTCTCGTTGATTGGGCGATACAAATTGCCTGCGGTATGAACTACTTGCACAGCGAGGCGCCCATGTCGATAATACATCGCGACCTTAAGTCCTCCAATGTACTCATCTATGAGGCCATCGAGGGCAGTCAGCTGCACAATAAAACGCTCAAAATAACCGACTTTGGCCTAGCACGCGAAATGTACAACACACAGTGTATGAGCGCCGCTGGCACCTACGCCTGGATGCCGCCTGAGGTCATTAGCCGGAGCATGTACTCCAAGTGAGTGAACGCAATGTGGACAACATTCAAATTGATTATATCAATTGTGTATATAATTTTATTATAGATCGTCGGATGTGTGGAGCTATGGTGTGCTACTCTGGGAGCTGATCACAGGCGAAACGCCCTACAAAGGTTTCGATCCACTTTCCGTTGCATATGGCGTCGCTGTCAATACGCTAACGTTGCCGATACCTAAGACTTGCCCCGAAACTTGGGGCGCTCTTATGAAAAGTGAGTGAAGGTGAAGTATAGATTACTGATAGCTGCGATGCTAATTTCTAATCTCTTACAGGCTGCTGGGAAAGCGATCCACATAGACGACCTGATTTCAAGAAGATTATCGAACAGCTGGAGAGTAGCGCGTGCTCGAAATTTACGTTAACGCCTCAGGAATCTTTTCACCACCTACAGGAGCTGTGGAAGAAAGAGATCGCCGAAGTGCTGCACGATCTGCGCGAAAAAGAAAAGGTATCCGGTGAATACACAATATGAAACGCTATCGTTGTCTACTCTCTATTTGGGGTCCCTTTTAGGAAACTCTCTATTTCTCTATCTATCTATCTAAGTTTAGTTTTGTATCTCTACATTTACATCTATCTTTCTTAAGCTCTCACACGAACAAAATTGTCTAATCATTTGATTTAACTGCCTTTTTTCTATCAAATTTTTTCCGTCAATATTTGTTACCCAACTCCAAACCATGTTAAGCGTTTCCAAACTATCGAAGAGGTAAGCGCGCCTTGTTCCAAAAAAGGGAAAAACATTTTTGCTGCTCGATTTTGTTTCCGTTTAGTTTCGAATTCGCTTCGTTTCTGTTCACATTTTTCGATTTGTTTTGGCCATTGCTATTCGAGTCTTGTGTGCTTTAAGTTTGTCCAACAGCCCACCACGCACCACCTCTCACGTACAATTGCATGGATTTTCCATTTGCCAGACATTTGCGAGTTTTGAGTCTGAGTCCCTGCACTAAAAATCCCCATTTTCGAGTTAATCCAAATGTGTTCGATTCCGTAGGAACTGCGCAACAAGGAGGAGCAGCTGAAGCTAATGCAAAAGAAGCAGCTGGAAAAGGCCAACAAGCTCCATGAGCTGGAGGAGCAACTGCGTCAGCGAGAAATCAATATCCTTGGACGCGAGCTAATGATGCAGCCAGGGACTGTGCCGGTGCCGGTACCATCGAAGCGGAAGCCCAAAAAGAGTAAAAAGGTAGAATCCAACTGAATACAATTAAACTCAATATATACTATATATATATATATATATTGCATATTTGCTACAGAAACCGCTGCAGATATCACTGCCAACGGAATTCCGGCACACAATTACGGCCGTTTGTGACAAAGTGGAGCCGCCCGGCTCGCCCTCCCTCTCCAGATTGCGAATTGTGACACGTAAGTGAAACCTTAACTGGAACAAGATTGTTTCGAACTTGACCCCAAAGACTGTTCCCATTCCATATATTCAATCAATTTGATTTTGAGTGAAAACAAGTTGAATACAAAGTGGAAACGAAATATCGATATCCCTAGAAGAGATCACGAGATTACCCTAAGCCCATTGAAAATGGAAACTGAATTGATCATAAATGTTTTCTTTTTTTTTTCATTTTCAATTCAACATATTTAAAAACTGAATTGGAATGAAACGTTTAGGACAGCTACATAAAAATCAAAATTAATCATTTACGACTTTAAGACTTCGCTTTAACTAACAAAAAGTTAATTTTTCGTATGTCTGACCAATAAGAACTGAAATATAGATTTTGTTTACTAGTACTTGAAATCTTTAATATCGTATTACAAATTTACTTGTTAACTGCTTTGATTCCGTACGTTCCACATGAAACGTGCTGTTCATTCCCACTGTTTCTCTGTAACCTATTTGAATGCATTGCATCGAAACTTGTTTACTTAGCTACATTTATTTTCATTATATTTTTATTAGTTCTAATTTAGAATTTCTAATTTGTATATTTATTTATTTATCGTTTCTTTTTCTTGTTTTTCTTTGCTTTTGGTTTGTTTTCTCTTTACTTTGTTGGGCCGTGGCTCACAGTGACCGATGGGCACAAAAACAAGACCTGGGGTCCATCGACAATGCACCAGCGCGAACGTTCGCTGCTGCCGCCACAGCTGGGCGGCCAGCCCGAGTGGCCGGCGCAAAGTTCGACGCACTCATCGTTCAGCAAGAGTGCGCCCAATCTGGACAAGAAGCTGAATGCTGCGGCGGCGGCGGCGGCTGCTGGCACAGCTGGAACAGGTGGCACCACACCGACAGCTGCAACAGCAGCAATGTCAACACAGTTGCTGGGCAGCTCCAATGTGGGCAGCATTGCCGGCGGCTCCACGCCCACGTCGCCCATGTATTTGGGCGGCAGTGTGGCGGCAATTGGTGCTGTTGGCGCTGGTGTGGCTACAGGTATGCCATATTTAATACTGCATACCAACAACAACAACAACAACAACAATAGTAATCACATATATAACAACAACAACAACAACCACCACAAAACTAATACAAACAACATCATGTCATCCAATGCCTCGCCACGGTTAAACGGCAATCACAACAACAACAACAACAGCCACAACAACAGCAATAAAAATATAGCAAATCGTACGCCTGCCACTAACATTTTTGGTCGCGCCCGTAGCCAAGACTACGGTCTGGATCTACCGCACAGTGGCAACAATGTTATCCATTTGCTGCCAGACGATAGCTCCGAGTCGGATACCCTAACGCCAACAACGGGCTGCTTTCATTTCCTAAAGTCGAGCGCCTCCACGGTGGCAATGGCGCCCATCGTGTGCGGATCACCGTATGGCGGCAGTCTCGGGAACAGTCCGGCAGTAGGCCGTAAGAAGCTATCGCTGGACAGCCAATTCGTACAGCCCGGTGGTATACAGCTGACACCGGCTATGTCGCCGCTGGTGGCGCCACCGACACTGGAACGGGGCGATAATAACACGTACGATCGTGCCTTTTATCGGGGTCTGGAAAAGAAGATACTAGCCAGCAGCGACCGTGTGAATTCCAAGTCAAGCGGCGACCTAACCATGTACAACTCTGCCACGCGGCTCACCGAGCCGCGAACTGAAACGGCGGAGGATGCGCTAGAGAGTCGCTTTCAGCGTAATGCGTCCGGCTCTCAATTTCCGCGACATTGCTTCTTTCGACAACAACCGAATAGCACTGAGGGCGACAATGACGATGACGACGACGACGACGACGACAACGATGACGAGGTGCGTAATCAGGACTCGGACCAGGACCAGTATGACAGGGATGTAGAAGATGAACAGCGCAACATTAACTCACATTGTTCTTCGGAGCATTCGTCCTCAACCGTCGACACCTCAGCCAGCCAGACGCGCGCCAACTGCTCCACGTCCCGAAAAAGTTCCGTGACCTTTCAAATGAACTCGCCCACATTTGAGATGGCGCCTGCCACGCCCACGGCGACAGCAGCGAACGATGTACAGACGTCGATCGCATCGATCAGCTTTAGCACCAACTACAGCTCCAGCGATAACGACTCCAACGATGACGACTGGCACGATCAGTTGAATCGCAGCGATAACGACAACGACAACAACGATGTAGCACAGAACGGTGCACGAATACATGAGAACTGCATACTGCAGACACGCCGTATGCAGGACGTCCAACCGCATCCGGACGTGGTCAAGATGAAGGAATGCCTGCTGGCCGAACAGCAGCGGCAGGACACCAAGCAAACAAAGAAGCAAAAACAAAAGCTGCGCTGCATTACCAAATCGAAGTCTGTGGAGGCGCCGGCCAGCGCTCTAGCCAATAGCCAGCAGCTGCAGCAGGCGCAACAGCCGCAGCAGCACTCATCGAGCGGCAAAATCAAATCATTAATCAATCTATTCACGCGCGGCTCCAAGAAAAAATATACTAAGCTGTCCGATCAGCAAATGGCCACGGCTGGCAGCAGAAGCGGCAGCATTGCTGAATTTGGTGCCATTGATCCATATGAAACGGAACTGCCACTAGCGAGCGGCAAGTCGACAACGGGACGTTCTGCGAAACGCAAAAGCAAAAAGCCTCAAACGCAGTCCTGCGAACAATTGGAACGTGTCTGATTGTGTGTGCCTTGCTGCCTGTGTATGTGTGTGTGTGTGTGTTTAGGCTTATCTAACAGTTCTATTTGTTGTGTTAGTTGTTGTGGTCAAAGCCGTGCGTCGTTGTAGTCCTGCATCAATCAATCAAATACATGCATATACATACATTTAGGTGTATATATATGCAGTCAACTATGAGCCCATTGTTTTATATTAAAACCATAGACTAAGTCTAAGTAACCTACACACCCACACACACAGACACACACACACACACACACACACACACACACACACACACACACACACACACACACACACACACACTAGCTCCTTACTGCTTGCGTACATCTAACAATAACAATAACAAGGAAATTTCCGTTTGTTCATTTGATCTTTTTTTGTTTTGTGTACTAACGCTCCACATGTGTGTAAGCAAAGCTCGTTAAAGTCTAGACAAAACTGTTTGGAAAAGCAATAATGTTTCAACTGGGAATGAGTATCCGGATGTATTATGTGGTCACAGAGGATTCGACTCGAATAACAAAACAGAGCAACGTAGAAGAGCGGGAAGAGGAAAGAGGAGAGATAGAAAGATACAGAGATAGAGAGAGAGAGAGAAAGAGATAACTATTCGGAAACATTAAATTTGGAATAGATCAAAAAGAATTAGTGCAAGCCCAGAAGCTGCATGGCTGGAAACGACTGGAAACAAGTCAAAAACTAGAAGCAGAAACAAACTTGATATTGTGTAATATAATGATATACAAAGCGAAAATGTGGAATTGAATTTTATAAAATAATATCTATATATATATATATATATATTTGTGTGTGTATTAAAAGTTGAGACTCAGGTATAAAAGCGCCAGATTATCAGAATTATCAAAGCAAAAGTTCGCTCAGATAAAGCAGCCAGTGAGAGAAGACTAAGCAAACGAAAACGAACTAGATAAAAACAAGTTAAATGATATATATATACCTGCATGTTCAGGTTCCAGACATATTTGAATGGCTTTTGTCTGCTCTTTGCTTACACAATGTGGAGTAAGAAATGAGAGAATCGTTCGCCACAATATGAACTAAATATACTTATGGAAAGCTATCGAGAGTTAAGTGAATTGGTATAACTATACATATCTAATCTTTGATATATATGCAAGCAACAATATTTATATACATACATATACGAGAAACACGAACTTCAGTTGAGCCTAGCTTTAGTCGTACAGCATCTTCAATTTTTTCTTTCTTTTTTTTTTTTGATTGTGGCAGCGAGATTGAAGCTGCTGCTCCATTCTGCTGCTGGTCTCGGTTCAATCTTTGTTCTTTCTTTTCTTCCTTTGGTATTCTTGTGCAGTTTTATTTACTTAGATTTTAATTGAATTGCAATTGGCTTTTATTTATTTTTAGTATTTGAGTTGAGAAAAAAAATAGAAAAAGAAAGCAGAAAAAAAACTGTGATGAAAAATGATGAGAAAGCAAACATCAAGAAAAAAATTAATTTTTTATGTATTATTGTATGCAAGCCTTTAATTTTCGTGAATACCCTGTAAACATTGCCAACAAAAAAATAAACTAAATTTCTCAAATAAAGTCCCTATCAAGCTATCGTATCATATCTATATCATCTGGCTGTCTGTCCGTTAAGAATGCTTCGATCTCAAATTTTGAAGCTTTGCGAGTCTGCGTTGTTTGCACTGTGAACAGGGTATCTGCTAGTCGAGCACCTGCGACTAGACCATTTTTGTTTATTTGTTTGTTTTTCTTACGTTTTACCTTAAATGTAATTTGTATACTTATGGAAAACCCAAACAACAAAAATCGAGAAATAAAAATATCAAGAACAACTACAACAACAACAACAACAATAAGCATACACAAAACCCGAAAACGGACAATAAACATTAAAAAAAAGCGAAATTGTAGCATATTTAATTTAGCCCGAGCTTCTAAAGACTTCCCCGGTGTAGGTTGGTTCTTGCCTGTGGTAAACCCTGCCCCTAGCCCCCACTTGAACTACTCGATCTACTTACCAACACCCACACCTGAAGTAACCGTTTAGCCACACGTTTCTCAACACTGTTTCGTCAACTGTTCATGCTGCCGCATTGTTGGACCGCCCCAACAGGCTATCAGGGCAATAGCAAGGAGGACTGGCGTTCGGGACCAGCAAACATGCCAATCATGTCGCCATCTCCGTATCTGCTCAGCCGCTTCACCAGCAACGTGCCGCTGCCGACGCTCTACGCCGGCGATGCGGCCCGCAAGCCAAAGCTCTCCGTGATCGAGCTGCTGCTCTACAATATGGCATCGCTGCTGGCGGGCGTCGCTGCTGGCTATGACGTGCGCATGTCCAATGTGTCACCGGTGCATCCGACGCTGCTCAGCGAGCTGCCCGCTTTGAAGGCAGCGCCCAAGGCGACAAGCGTGGAGGAACAGGAGCAGCTGCCGGATCAGATCGATCACAGCGAACATCAGCTGGAGGCGACGCGCTACTTGGCCAACAAGCCAAATGCTCTGCGGTAAGTGCTTGCCAAATATTATGGCCAACACGCGTTGGGCCAATCGAAAAACAGCTTTGACAACACGTCTGCTGCGTGGAAAATACTTGACTCGCTGTCGTTGTCAAGTTTGACATCATGTTTAACATGCCAAAGCTTCCTAACTCACTTTATTCTATCAGGCGCATAGAATTGGTTAAACTGGACGTTAATTATTTGACATCATGCTTACTTTGTCAAGTGCCTGCCGAAATGCTTTTTATTTTCTCTTCGTTTGCATTGAACAAGTTGAATATTTAACAATTAGTTAAAGTGGCAATCAACTTTAACATCATGTTAATACTAAATGCCTTGGTTAACTAATTCGCTTGCCAGTTGATATTATCCTAAGTATAATGATGTCAAGTTTGACAGCTGGTAACTGTCATTTCCAAATGTTCCTGTCAAACTAGCAATTAACCAGTGAGCTGTATGACGTGATTGTTAGATACTTATACCCAGCTTGACATTCAGTTTAACTGTCAGCATTTTAGCTATTATAGAACTGACTTTAAAATTTGACATTGGTCTATAAAGTTAAACCCGCATCTTAAAATTCGCTTTATCCATGCAGCTATTCAGCCCTGGACACAGGAACAGGCACAGCGATGGCCACGCAAAAGCCTCAAACAGTGGCACAACGACGCGTGGGGGGCAGTCAACCGTATTACACGCCCGTGCAACGCACGCCACAGCATCAACTGCATCAAGGAGTGGCTGTAGCAGGAGTAGCAGCAGTGACTACTGTGCCACAAGCTCAGCCGCTGCAACAACCGCAGACCGTGGCGTTGCTCTATGCCGGCTCACAGCCGCCGACGCCGTCGCCGCGCCGCAAGCTGAGCAGCAGCAGCTGCAACAATGCCGATGGCTTCGAGGAGTTCCGCGTGGGCGGTGGCATCGGACCACCGCCGCTTTATGCGCCCGCCGACTATCTGCGCAACGGGCCCAGTTACTCCAACGATGGCGGTGCCTATCGCAATGGGTACTTTGGTAAGCTACCTGCCCCAGCTGGCTGACACCTAGCAACATCATCATTGATCCATCTCCATGTTGCAGGCTCCAACTATTTTCCATATCGGCCGGAGTTGAATTTTGCATATGAGCGCGATTGCAAATCGTATCCGGATTACTCGTACGACTACAATCATCGCCTGCCCGACTACTATGACTATCAGTATGAGCCGCCCGTGCAGGCGGTGCAGGCGGTTCAGGCGGTTCAGGTGGCTGCGGTGGCAGCGTTGCCGCCATTGCAAACGCGTACGCCGCCGCCGCGCGTTCCACAGATGGGAGTCAGTGCGGGCGGGCATCGTCGTACACCCTCAACGGTATCGAACAATTCGAATGTGCTGCTGGAGCACGAGGAGCTGCTCTACGATTACAACAATCTCAATTTGAACGTGAACCTCAATGTGGAATACGAATGCGAACCGGCGCCAGCGCCGGCGCCAACGTCACAAATTCAACAAACAACGGCGTCTCAGCAGCAGCCGCCGCCGCCAACTGGCAAACAGGATTTCTATATCGGCTCACCCAAGCTAATCAATCGCTTGTTGCACAGTCCGTTGGCAAACAGTAAATATGCGCCTGTCACACGTCCTGTCAGCTTGCCCTTCGAACAGCACACGCTCAGCTATCAGCTGCAGCAGCAGCAACAGCAGCAGCAGCAGCAGCTGGCCCTGCAGCAGGTGGGCATTAGCCAGGGCAAGCTGCGCAGCTCGCTGAAGAAGTACAACAGCAATACGCTTAACGGCAGCATATCGTCGCAGCAGGGCACGCCCACAAATCCGACGCCGCCCGACTCGTTGACCAGCGACGACAGCTCCTACTTGAGCGCCAAAGAGGGCTCCATTGGATCGCAGCATAGTCGCGTGCGATTCAGTCCGGAGGCCTATTTGGACGCTAGCAGTTTGCCCGTTGGCGTCTTGGGCAGGCGCATGACATCGCCAGGTCTGCAGCTGCCACAACAGCAACAGCAACAGCAGCAACAACAAACACAACGTAGGCATCGACATACCTCCAGCGCTAGCACACCATCGCCATCGGCCTCATCGTCCTCCTAGCAGGCGCGTCTGGCGCTGACTTTGCAGTTAGCGCGTAGTCCCGGCGCGGACATTGGCAGCGCCGGAGGCGCCTCTGGCTTGGCCCTGGGCCTGGCCTTGCACCAGCAACGGGTGCCATATCGTTGGTACTCCGGTGCGCGGCGTTCACGATCCGCACACTATGAATACCGACTCTGAGAGTCAACGAGAGACAGAAATAGCAATAGCAGGTGCGAGTGGGACGGCAAACAGTTTAGAAATACATTGATACCTCAAGCTTGCGTACATTAGAGCGAGAGCGCAGACCCACACAGACACAGACACGGACACACACAGACTACAACTTGGTGGCAGATCTATGTTATAATACCCTGATCTGTTACAGTTTATAACCCTGATATAGTAGTCAGCATTATATAACCTCTTGACTTGAGCGATTTGCCTTAAATATATAGCATGAATATAGAGCTTCGAATTCCGAAGAAGCTGCTTCTGACCACATGCTCATGTTCAGTTATAGCTTATGAATTGATATTGATATATCTTTATGCAAGTCTATAGTCGACTGTCTTCAATTTGATTAGATGCCACGCCTTATGCCACGCCCCAAAAACAATAAGAGCAGATGAGTATAACACTAATTGTAATTCGAAGCTAACTAAATACACCAATAACAACTCCATTTTTAAGTCTGAAGAAAACGTTTATACATACATACATCTAAATATAATATATATACATATATATACATACATATATACCTTGATATGTAACCCTATATAAAGACGTTGCTAAATCATTAGCTTTAGTTCCAAAATACAATTTGATCGATTTATAAACTCAAATGATATATATATATATATACATACATACACACACACACACACACATATATATATATATATATAGGATATAATATATAATAACAAATTGCATACATATAAACTATATGTAAAACAACAAATTGTAAGTTTTCAAGCCGACAGCAAATAATACGCCTGTGAATATCATCAGATATTGAAACACTATATACATATATTGGCATTCTAATATACTTCAATGTATAACGCTTGCTATGAGCGATCGAGGCGGGATTAGCGACATCTAGCGGCAGTAGTTGCAATGTAGAAAGCTGAACTCAGCTCTCTCCACTCCTTTCTAGCTCGTGTGCTCGGCCGCACACAGAGTCTAAACTTGTGTAGTGTATACATGCGGCGCTAGATGGCGCTTTCTTGCATGTCGAAAATTATGAACTTAATTTAAATGCTTATTCAAATTATGTTTGTTAAATGAATTGTTTGCAATCAATAGCCTCTGTAGACTGCGATTACCGTTTTACCTTAATGACAATTTATACTATTTTTTAGACAAATTGTTCATGCTCACACGAAAAAATAAAAAGAATAAAAATAAAGCAATATGTACATTAAAAAAAAAAAGAAAACATTGTGGATTCAGCAATTGCTAACTCTAATATATCCAAGGAAAGATAAAAACTAATTCAATTTGCCTGAAAAGTAATACACAACTAAATACGCCAATCAAATCAAATGAAATCAAAGCAGAGAAACCCAGTTAACCAATATTATTATTAAAATCGTAGCGTAATTGCCTTTTGTTGCATGATTCATTAATTGTTGCTAGTTTTCTGGCTATCGCAGCCCCTAAATATGCAATAATAAATGCTGCTTGTGACTTATTTTTATGTACAAATTAGCTATTAATAATTAACAATTCATTTCAATCATTCAGAGACCAAAAACCAAAACCAAAACCAAAACAAATGAAAAAGCAAAAATATATTAAAAATAAACAAATACTATTTTTATACAAAATATTACGTCACTTATTTCTGTTTTATTGATGTGGTTCATTTAACGAAACCCACATTTTATTGCTCAAATTTTATACTCTGAATTTTCGTTCAGCACATCCTTAGTCAGCTCTCCAACGGACATCGGTCAGACGCTGCTCAGTGTTTGTATAGAGATTCTCTTCAATGCTCCAAATCGATGGTACCATTTTGAGCAACATATCCTAACGGAAACTTTAATCCAATCTGTTATTATCATCTTATCTTTTCTAAATGCCATTTTCGGGCAAACAATAAATTGTTAAAACTCATATAGATCTAAAATAAATAATTGCTGTAGTTAGAAATTAGGCTAACGTTTTCACTGAGTGTCAGCAGAGAATCCAGTGGCATTCCCTTTCTGTGGCAGGCGACTGGCAGCCACTGTCTACTGTGACTAGTCAAACCACCTGCTGTACCCCCAAGCAGCATCTTCAGGTTGATCTTCATTTGCTTGGCCAGGTGCCCCAATTGATTCCAGCTTCGTGTTTACCGTTGCCTCTGCCAAAGTGGAAAAAGTGGAATGGAAAGGCAACTGGTCGGTTGGTCGCTTAGTCGCTTAGTCGGCGCACCTGGCTCACCTGTTCTAGCTTGAATTCGGGCGACCAAATGTTCCTCTGCTCTCGGGCTGACAAGTTCAGTGCCGGCCATCAGTCGCAAACGCTCGCAGCGCGAAAGGCTCCCAAAAACCATTTCGATCTTAAAACTTAGATCTTGTGCTCTGTTTTTGTTTTGTTTTTCTGTTTGGTGAATCTGTGAAACATAGTGTTTGTGTACGTGCTCGGTAATTCTGTGTAACATTGCTTAGAGCTTGATATGGAAAGTGCATGTGGTAAGTCTTCAAGGTCTTCAAGGCCTTCACCTACCAAATAAGCGATACGTCTAGCTGAAATCAACTCCAAGTCCAAGTTCATTTCCAAGGTCCAAGTGCATTTCCAAGTCCATGTCAGATCCAGTTTTGGGCTTACACTTCCGTCTCACTGAAATTTGGCCTTCGCCTATTTTCCTGCTGTAGTTGCCGCCAAAAAAAAGAAAAAGAAGAAAACCTGTTGGCGTGTGCCACTTACCCAGTGCAAAATGTAAGCCACTAAAATCAGAACATTCAAGAATCAGGCTTGGAGAACAACATTTAGATCGCGATTGAGATTGAGTTTGAGCATCTCCATGTCTATATAATATACTATGATAATGTAATTTGGCTCCTCTTAGTTTATTATATATATATATCACAACGCTACAAAACATTGGAATATATAGTCACTTTCCGAACTGCAATATCCCCAAGAGACATATATAAGTATATATATATATACAATTTGGCATATCACAAGAGAAGGTCAACAGTACCTCAATTACTTTCTAGTTCTAACAATTTAGAGAATATTGTATAACCCACTTGTCACGCCCACTGTGGGCGAAGATATATTCACAATATAGTTTTAACGTCAAGTTGTAACCCTAGTATATATTCCAAATCTCGAGCCACTAGCACCAATAGTGCATAAAATATAACAGAATTGGTACCAAACACTATATAGTCTAGTCCGATTTTCCACGCCTCTAATGGGCGTGACTATATAATTGTCGTCAATCTGTAAGGATTTCCAAATATTGGCGTTTTAACTCAAAATCTGTGGAAGATACAGTTTTACCCGATTTGCCACGTTGCCAATGGATGTAGATATATCTGCCATATCTTTTTGATTTTGGGTTGTCAATGCGAGCTTATGTTCAAAATTTTAAGCAGTCATTCCCGGATGCCACGTCCCTAGTGTGCGTATTGTCGCACAAAATCTCCAGCTTCAAGATATATGCAAGAAAACGCTAACAATTTAAATACCTATCGATTATTGTATTTCTACAACGTGCGATATATTGACATTGGAAGAAAATAATCGATATCGCAAATGACTAACAGTGAGAGTGAAAGAGATGAAAGATGAATTAACGTAAGTACCACATCTATAGTCAGATAAACCAAGGAATATTCAGAGATGGCAGACAACCGAATTGGCAAATTATGCCGATCAAGAAGAAGGTATATATATGCATATAAAAATATGCGTTTTCTTCTTCAGTTTTACATAAATAAGAAAACATTAGCATGTATAAGGCATACATAAATGGTTTATATAAGAGAAACAAAGTTAATAGATTTCATATACATTTTACATAAGGTCATCTTTTCCTGTTTTGTTATTAGCTTAACATCGAACATGTTTTGAAGTCTGAAAAATACAACAACTAGTATAACTATCATAAAAATTTCAAGCAATTCCTCGAGAAACTCTGAATTTTCAGCGCTGCTCAGAGTGACAACCAAATTAAGTTTGTGTTGCGTTTCAAAATTATTGGTTAATCCTGAAATAATTTATCATCATTCAATTAAGCCATGTTACGGGCAGGTCGCGCGATCGGTGACCAGGACGGTGCCAATGATGAGCGCATGTGCTGGATCTGCTTGAATACAGATGAAGAGACCCTGCGCCATGACTGGCTGCAACCGTGTCGTTGCCGTGGCACCAACAAATGGGTGCACGAGGCTTGCCTCAGTCGCTGGATTGATGAAAAGCAGCAAGTCAATCCGGACGTTCCGGTCACTTGTCCCCAATGCCACACAGAATACATCATTGTCATGCCACCTGTCTGCCGTTTCGATGCATTGCTAGAGAGAGTGGAGAAGACTTATGGTCTGCTTTGCCCAAGCATATTGATGGGCATGCTGGCCACTGTGGTGTATATAGCGACGCTCTCGTACGGCGCGCTCACATTGCATCAAGTGGCTGGCTACGAGACAAGCATTCAACTAATGAAAGAAGATCCCACCTTGCTGATGATTGTTTTGCCATCGCTGCCAGCTGCTTTGCTGCTGTTGCGCCGCTTTGACTGGGATAATTGGATGGTGCGTTGGCTGCGCCGTCGACAACGGCAGACGGTGTCGTCTGAGCACTTTGATGAGAATGGTGACCTACTGCCCGGTGCTCCGCTAACCGACGAATATTTTGATAGGCAGGAGCCGGTAGATGATGATGAAATGATGCAGGGCGGTGCGTTGAATGCGGAGAATATTGAACGAGCCACATGCCGTTTCTGCACGGCCCTTAGTCTGCCCACCTTCGCTGTACTCATTGGGCAGACTCTTTATAGCAATCTAAATAGCAAATTGTTGGGCATAGTGTTGGGAGCCTTTACTTTTGAGGCTATTAAGGGTTTAATCTGTGTCTATTTGCGCCAATGCCAGTATTACCGCCGACGATATCGTAGTGTGCTAGACTACACTGCGGAGAATATGGAACGGTCCGGCAGAGCCATCTAGCTTTACCAGGTGCCCATCACAATTCATGTTCATTCTGATATGTTTCAAATTAAAATTGTAATTCCAACGGAAATCATCTCTACCACCCGTTCCCGTTATCGATAAATTAACTCGATTACTTATAATGTCGCTGTCCAAAATGAGTTTCTTTTTTATTCGCGACAATTAGTTACGTTTGTCAACACAGTAAACTCTGCATCGGAATGTTTTCCAACACTATAAAAAGTTGCGTTAACGTTTGAAATTTTTAATTTAAACGAAAAACCACAGTATGACTGGTGTCAGGTTGCAGTTTAAATTATTTGTCGATAGGGGATCGCGATCGCGATCAGCAACCGGGATATACGGAAAACCCTACCAATATTCATTATTTTTGCATTACTGCCCTTACTGCTTGCAGTTCAGAACACATGCCAGCAGTATGTTCGACCAAAATGCTAATACAACCAACCTGACACTGAGAAACTGTCAACTTTGGAAGTTCGTTAATATGCATAGGATTGGGCTTATCACGCATTAGTAACAATCAAAAAAGAAAATACGGCGGACATCCAAAGTAGGCTTGACTATGCGATTTCAAACTACTCGGTGCATCCTTGAAATGACGTACAGATTAGGCGTGGGATTAAGCAATATTCGCTTTAAATGCGAGTTTTTGCATAAGCGAGGCAATTTCGATCGCTCTTTTTGAACTTAGCAGCTGAGACGGCAAGGAAAAATGCGACATAATACATCTACATATATCGTAGAAGTTCGCTACGAGCACACTCACTGTCAGTGGAGCTAACCCTTAGGAAACTTTCTTCATGTTGTTATACAAATGCAATTTGGCTCTTAAAGAGCTTCGTTCGAATCGTAGTTGCTGAAGAACAATCTATATATAAATTGGCAATCGAAAGGATGCTTTGTTAACGTTTAACAACCGAAAATCAGCGCTTGTATGTAGGTAATGTTGTGTAATATGCTGTACAATAAGACTCATTACATTATTGACCTTTAGACAACGCTGCGATATTTATAAATAGGAATAACAAACATCACACGTCACCAATCTCTCGGATTACAACTGTCCGGTTATCAGCAAAACGTTTATTTACAAATTAGACGCAAGCACATTGTGCGCGACGCTGTAATATCAGGAAGTATCTGGAAAGTAGAGCATCAACAGACACACCCACTTTACACAGACACACACCTCTAACGGTGAATGCAAAAAGCTTACGGTAGCTGCATTTGAATTTGAAGCTGTAACGGTGCAGAGATCAAACGTTTGAAAGGATTCGAGTGCATTGTTATCGATATACCGATAGGTAGTCGCTTATGGAATGCATTTGAAAGGTGATATGGCTTTTGAGGATGTTTTGCACGAACTGTGGAAAAACACCAATCCGTCAATCATGACGCATCTTCGTCTAAGCAACAACATATAAGTAAATAAATAAATGACCGAGAATAACGGAGAAATGCGTTGTGTATGATCAACAGGGGTTGCTGTCAAAGGGTCATCAACAACAACTGCGTCAATGTGACGGAAAACTCAGACAAGACCCATCAGTTAATAAGCCATCCTCAACCACATGCACACACACACACACATACATACACAGAAACAATGTTTGTGTGTGTGAATGTACGTAGTACCTTCGAGACCTGATAACATTTGTCCCGAGTGTAAAGTACAAAATTCCAAAGCATTCATTTTTGATTGATACGACACATTTTGTAGAATTTTGTTTAATCACTTTCATTTTTATTGTTGCTTCTGTATAATTTTTGATCTAGGCGCTAATTATAATAGACTAAATATGTACGTAAAGCATAATTAAAATCAAGGCAACTAAGTCGTATGCCTCAACACTTAATAAATTAGGGTCATTAGGGGAACAATTTAGTTATCAATTTTTCTTTTAAACTACGCATATATGCATACTCGTGGCTGGACCAACTATTTTAGCTATAAACTATTTAAAACTTTGTTTTACAGGCAGCCTATGTATGTTTGTATGCTTAAACTACGACTACGAAAATTAAGTTAAGCACATATATATATCGAGTATATATATAAATATATATATATATATATAAATATATATATATATATAAATATATATATATATATACATATATATATATATATATAGAGTAAACAGCTTAATATATAAGAGTATAGTTTAGTAATAATGTATGTCTGACGTAAGTACGAGTTTTAAGTGTAGCAGTTGCTTAGGTTGGTTCCTTGTTCATCTGTGCTTGAGATTAGTTTGCCATTAGGTTTCAAACTTAATGGCAAATGCCAATTTGTTTTTGTTCACTGACGCACTTGGCAGGTTTGGTTCGTAAAAGACCGCTAACAAGCTGGCTTTGGTTTCATATGAATTTCCAGCTAAATAAGCAAGTAAATAGCATTGATATAACATGACATGTACGTTATCAATATTTGTGAACTAACCTGCGTCTAAAACTTCTTGTTATCCCTAAGGTAAGCCTTGTGGCGCAAGGTTTCCTTCAGGCATTTGTCTGAGTCGCTGCCTGTGCCTCGCTGCTGACACACAGTTTCCGTTTTAAGGACGAAGCACTGCGTCTGCACCATATTGAAGAAGAGCTTGCCAATTGTGTTGGCATCTTCATCGCTGGCCATTTTCAGGCAGGTGCGGAAGCGTCGATCGCAACTGCAATGCGACAGCGTATAAGGGCGATAATTGAACAGATCGTACCGATTGGACATGGCCGGTATGTACATCTTGCAGTGATCGTGCTTCCGACAGCACTTGTCTGCCATCGATGCGCCGCCCAAATGATTATACGTCCCATTTGCCAAATTGCCACGCCCACACCAGCGTGTGTTGGGCGCAATGAACCAATCGGACACTTGGCGACGTCGGCGCGATGGCGCAAGGGGCTGTGCGTCCGAAATTGTGTCGTCATCATTATCGTACGATTCGTGACGTAGTTGCTGCTGGCCGCTATTGCTACTACTGATGTTGTTTGTTTGTATTGGTGTTGACGTTGGCTTTGTTGTTGTCGTTGCTGCACTTGCAGCGGCAGCGACATTGGCGGGCAATGGCAGCTGCTTGGCAGCGCACATGTGCCATGCGAACACAATTAGGCATAGCAAATAAATATAATTGCATTTCAATGCAATAGAATTTGCCATTCTGTGAATTTGTCAGTCTGTCGAAATCGGGTTTTCATTCAATGTTGTAACGTATTCTTTTTTAAGGTTTCGCGTTCCGTTTGCGGCACGCTCCTCACACTCAATTGTCGCTCCGACTGCGGGACGTTGGCGTTTTATGGGCTCGCACGCTGCAGCTCGACTGGCTATAACGACTTCGTCGTCTGTGTGTTTTAAGGGTACGTGCAGGTGAACCGCTTATCTCTCTCCCAAAGCAGTGCTCTGCAATGAAACAGATGTTCGGTATTCAGTGTTGCACAACTTGTGCGAAAGCTCGCTAATACTGCATTTGACAATGCCATTTTGAGCATTTGTTTTGTAGGGATGGATACATAAATATGTAGTATATATGAATTAACGGAACTGAGTAAATTATTTTTGTTTAGAAACGTGAGACCGCTATGAATACAAAATTAGAGCCATATATTGATAGTGATGTAACTTAATGAAAACAGCTTACCAATGCAAAAAATGTAAACTAATGGAAACATCTTCACACTCAGCTGTTAAAGGGCTTAGGTATTTTGCAACACTGACCAACGAATAGCATCAATATTTTTGTGTGTGGTCAGGTGAATCGAATTTTTTAAGAATTTAGGGCTAAGATAGACTGAGCGGTGCATCGCATGCATGCACGCTTTAATGCAATGCAGCGCACTCCACAGGAACAGAAACAATTAAAGCTGCATCAGCAGCAACAGCACATAGAAGAGAAACAGCAGCAGCAGCATCATCATCATCATTACCAACAACAACAACATAACAGTAACAGTAACAGTAATGGGACGCACATTGCTGGCTGCAGCAATACCACGCCCACAACGGCAGCAACGAATGCAGCTGGTGGCGCCACAGGACTGACCCCGCCTCGTACCTTGGCACTGAATCAAAACTATGCTGCCTCGGACACATCGGGCGAGCATGAGGGAGATACGGACTATCCCGATTCACGGTATGAATGCGCCATTTGCATAGACTGGCTAAATGAGCCGGTGCTGACGTCATGCGGTCATCGATTTTGTAAGAGTTGCCTCAGTGATTGGCTGCAGAATCACAACCAATGCTGCCCACTTGACAATAAGCAGCTATCCGCCGAGCAGGACATTTTTCCCGATAATTATACGCGCCGCGAGATTGAGCAAATTAAGCACAAGTGCCCGAACTCGCCGCACGGTTGTTCCGTTGTGGCCTCTCCAATTGAGTTGCATCGGCATTTGCCTAGCTGCCCGTACCGCCGGCAACAGCAACAGCAGCAGCTTGAGGAGAAGTGCCCCTTTGCTAGCATTAAGTGCGATTTTGTGGGCCGCCCAGAGACCAATCAGCTGGAGGAGCATCTTAAAACAGATATGCCGCATCATATGCAGCTCATGCTGCAGGCTTTCCAACAAACGGCCATTGATACCTGGCAGCCGCATAAATCCACCTCCAACTCAGCGCTGGAGAACGGGCACAAAGCTGGACAGCTGCCACCTCCGCCACAGTATGCGAATGGAGTTGACGAGCAAATCGTTCAGACCATGTATCAACGCATCGTTGTGCTGGAGCAGCGCACACGCGAACAGGAGACACGCATCGAGAATCTCAACAAGCAGCTGCGACGCCAACAGCCCATCGATGCACGCTATAGTAACGGCACAATCGTCTGGCAAATCGAGCAGTTGACAACTTTGATAGAACGACTGCGCGCCAATGCAAATAACCAGGTTTATTCGCACGAATGCTATACGTCACCGTATGGTTATAAGTTTTGCGCGCGTCTCAACATACAGCCGCGAAAGCCGCATGTGCTCAGTCTGCACGTGCATCTGATGCAATCGGATAACGATTTCCATTTGGATTGGCCATTCAAGGGCCGCATCAAGCTCTGCATGGTGCATCCGGGTGACGCAAGTCTGTCACAGCATGACACCATCATGACCAAACCGGAGATACTCGCCTTCCACCAACCGCGCGAGGCCATCAGCACACGCGGCTTTGGATTTCTCGAGTATGCCAACATATCCAATATAATGCACTTGGGCTTCTGTGCCGACAATCGGCTCTTGATCAAGATTGAGATTAACATTGTTTGAATTGAATTGAATTGCCCAGAATTAACCACAAACCATGTTCTCAATATACTATATGCTTCTATATACATACAAACAATAGGCGCTAAAATATGTATATTTTATATAGACGTTATACGACTTTCGAATATTATTCAGAAAGGCAAAATCGTAAAAACATCACAGCGAAGCAATTTTTATACCATAGTTTAGAAGCGACTTTATCATATATATATATATATATATATATATATATAAATATATACACAAATATATAGTATGGCATATAGCATACACGTAGTATGATAGCAATTCGACTAGCCCAAACTTTTGTATACATTTACATGCATTTTATTGTTTAATAATGCAAAAAGAAGCCAAACAGTTTTATTTAACTTAAATCAAATTTGGCTCATTCCATGCAATATGTTTGCTTCTGATCAGATTCCAATAAGATACCAATGGCTAAACCGGTAACCAGCCATGCTACACCTATCTTCATATCCGTCCCTGTTTTATATTGTGATTATATTGAATCCCATTTTTACTTAATTTAATGACTTTTGCGTTTTTCTGTTCAAGTTATTTTATAAGTTGCAAACATTGTCTCTAAAACAGCTTCAGTCATTGCTTGATTTTATCAATTGAATACACGAAAAAATACGTCCATTATGTTACACAATTATTCTTAGGTGATTTTTTGTTAAGAGCAATATTGATGGCAGCTGCTTAATATAGTATTTATATACACACATACGGACATATATGTATTTAAGTGGGCGGTATATTGGATATATAACAAAGATAAGCATATTCATAATTATGTAGTAATTAGCGAGAACAGCAGCAAAAAAGTAATAATAAAGGACACTTTTGTACCGATAATTTTTCGATTTATTGTTGTGCCTACGTGTACCATGTACATTGTTCAATATACAATGGATAATGTACCTTTTCTAATGCTTTAGCTTGGCAACGGGTCGACTCTTGGGAGAATGCAGGTGTGAATCAAACTGGTTGAATTGAAAACAGCGTAGTTATATTTGTGTTTTGATTTAATATTTACATTTTGTTAAGCCCTTAATGGAGGCCAGAGACATTTGCAAGATTATGGTACATGCCAGCTGCCTGCAGTTGCAACGGTAACAACTTCCACATGGGAGGAATGCTGCTCCTGGAGCACCTCAATTGTGACAGCTTCCTCCAACAGTTGGTTAGTGTTGACAGCTTCCTCGACTTCAGCTTCGACATCGACTGTAGTTGTTTTGGTTTTGGCTTTCGCCCTGGCTCGTGCCGTCTCGTGGGTGCGCATATGGGCATTGAGTCCTCCAGATTGGGCAAACATTTTGTTGCATAACTTACACGAATATTTGCGCTGCTCTGAGTGTAGAAGCTTGTGGACGCGCAGCGCTTTCTTACGCTGAAACGTGGAGCCGCAAACATCACAGACAAAGGGTCGCAGATTCGTATGTGAGACGGCATGCACATTGAGATCGTGGAAGCTGTAGAAGGCCTTCCCACACACCTCGCATTTAGCAGGCCGTTCGCCAGTGTGTCGCCGCATATGGGCAGTAAGAACGCCGCGATCACGACATGGACGACCGCACACCTCACATATACAGGGCATGCGACCGGTATGGCATATGTTGTGCGATGTTAGCTCTTTTTGTGTGTAAAAGGTGGCTTCGCAATCTGGCTGCTGGCATTTGTACGGTTTGATGCCACTATGCCTTTGACGGTGGCGCATCATATTCCCGGATTGAGTGAAGGGCTTGCCACAGATGTCGCAAAAGATACCCGTATGCTTCCAACGGTGGCCACGCAAGTCCCGTTCAGTACGAAAAGTCTGATTGCATTCAGTCTCATCACATTTGTAGATCTTGGCGGGATCCTTGCGCGGTTTTCTGCGAACGCTTCCAGCTGTTGTTGCCACTATTGTAACATCTGCTGCCATTCTGTGCGGTTTTGTTGGCTTACGGAAATTGTGCTTGCTGCGTTTGTGGCTCTGTAGGCTGCGTTTGGTGTTGTAGGCGCGATCACATTGGTCACACTGGAACAGCATGTCTCTTGTATCATCCTCATAATCATCATTGTTATCAGAGTCTGAGTTCTCATTAACTTTAAGACGAACATCGCTGGTGTTGACGTCCCCCGCCCTCCATTCAATATGCTTGTCCATTGTCGTTTCATCCTCTGTTGTTCGTGTTTTTTGTTGCACTAGAATATTCTTGAGTGCTGCTTCTCGGCGCTGGCGCCTGGTTGCAATTGAGCTTACCAACTCTTTAGATGCAGTGAAATCTGCGACTTTATCAGTCTCGTGTTCCCGATCAAGCAGAGCTATCTGCGCTAAGTCTACATTCACATGATTATTGGACACGTGCGTCTCGTCATGGGCAATGGGGTCGTCCTCGGATTTAATGGCCAGTGGCTCGACATCCACGTCCACCGGCGTATCCAGATGCTGTTCCTCGGCCTGTGAAGAGAACAGCTTGCAGTCTTCAGTCTCCGTCTCTGTCAAATGTTTTTGTTGAAAGTGTTGGGGAAATCCTTCGTAGGGCACCTGCTGCCCGCAGAGCGTGCAGCAAACATCGTAACTCGTTGGGCTAACGCAAAGCACCTCGCCGCAACGGAAATTAAAATATGTTCGATCAAAATCAGGTTGCAATTTAATCATCCTGTAGAGCACTGATTACAGTAGCGTTCCTCTAAAATTGAGCCCATTTAACTTTGGCGTCGTATCAGGCTCCAAATCAAAGCCGCCGTCGCACCAAACACCAGACAGCTGTAAATCGATAACATACTCGATAAATATAATTTGTCTCGCAGTCGATGCTTTTTAATGTTTACATTTTAGTAAACATGAATAAACATATCATATTTGCATTACTAAAGTGTAATGAATGCCAACAGTAACTAGGTATATATCTAAAAATATATAATGGACTATATTAATTTTTGTAGTTTCAAATAAACGTTTAGCTATGAAGTATCGATACTAAATCAACATCAACTCGAATACAAACAAATTGATTATTTGATTGCTTCCAGTGTTGTATTACATCTTTTAAATTGCAATTCTCGTATTTCGCACACTGACAGCAACCGCCCGTTGTGTATTCGTGTATACACTTTTTTTTCTAACTGCAATCAGTATATTGATTTTCGCCCCCGCTTTTACATTGAAGATTGCGGCACAGTTAGGACATAAACATAAAAATCAATTGTCAAAATGTCGGAGTGCGCCGCTTCAGCCAGCAATGTCAACGCGAATGAAAAGATGGCAAGCTTGCTGAAAGAGGCGGAAAATTTGAAAGCGAAGTTGGAGGAGGAGCGCCAAAAGCTGAACGATGTCAATCTATCAAACATAGCTGAAAGGCTGGAACAGATAGCCTTCGTGAACATAAAGCCGCGAAAAGTGCTAAAAGGTCACCAAGCGAAAGTGCTGTGCACTGACTGGAGTCCCGATAAGCGACACATAATCTCGTCATCTCAGGACGGACGCCTCATAATATGGGATGCGTTTACCACAAACAAAGAACACGCTGTCACAATGCCAACCACTTGGATAATGGCGTGTGCTTATGCGCCATCTGGCAATTATGTGGCCTGCGGCGGCCTGGACAATAAAGTAACCGTATATCCGATTACCTCCGATGAGGAAATGGCTGCCAAGAAACGAACTGTTGGCACGCACACCAGCTACATGTCATGCTGTATCTATCCCAATTCAGATCAGCAAATACTCACAGGCAGTGGAGACTCCACGTGCGCTCTGTGGGATGTCGAATCTGGCCAATTATTGCAAAGTTTCCATGGTCATTCCGGCGACGTCATGGCCATTGATTTGGCGCCAAACGAGACGGGCAACACCTTTGTCTCTGGCAGCTGCGATCGCATGGCCTTTATTTGGGACATGCGCTCTGGCCATGTGGTGCAGTCCTTTGAGGGCCATCAGTCGGATGTGAATAGTGTTAAGTTCCATCCATGCGGCGATGCCATCGCCACAGGCTCCGACGACAGCAGCTGCCGCCTGTATGATATGCGCGCAGATCGCGAAGTTGCTGTATTTGCCAAGGAAAGCATTATCTTCGGTGTTAACTCGGTGGACTTTTCGGTTAGCGGACGACTGCTCTTTGCTGGCTACAATGACTACACTGTCAACCTGTGGGACACGCTCAAATCAGAGCGCGTCTGCCTTCTGTACGGTCACGAGAACAAGGTCTCTTGCGTTCAGGTCTCACCCGATGGCACAGCGCTATCCACTGGTAGCTGGGACTACACCATACGAGTGTGGGCCTAAAACCCCACCCTACATACCTTAAATATATGTATGTGTATATAACATATATGTGCATATACATATATGTGTAAATTGAATCTGTTAAGCACGCTCCTGCTGTTGTTTGTCAGCTTTCAAGCTTTTTTTCTGTCTGTGTGTTACACTAAATACTATATACTTTAAGTATAATATATAAAAAGGCAAATTGCACGTAACCAATCCAAAGGGAGAAAGCTCGTGTATATCTATGTAAACATATTATGCGCCTAGTTCTAAGTTCCTGTTCAAAATAAATGTTGAAGCGAAAACCAAATTATTTATACTTTTCAGTCATTAACTAGCAGAGCGGCTCTAACGATATTTACATATATATAAATATTTACTTGAAAAATACAATATAGAATAATATAAAAGGAGGTAGCGCTATCTTGTAGCAATCTTTCCAAGCGAATGTTGCTTAATATTCTACTGAGGTTCTTAAACATATTTTTTTTGGGAACAATTTTTATTACGATAGACTATATAAAATGATAATAATATATCTATATATATATATATATATATATATATATATATATATATATTGTGGCCTAAGTATTATAACTAAAGTTTGTGCAGATTTTTAATATTTAAAGAAGGCTGTACAATTAGCTTACTATAGGGATGCTCAAGGATACTAATGAGGTGGACAGGATATAGCTGAACCATTATCAATAATACCATTGACGGCCTGCGCTTTGTGGCCACGCATATGGGCTGAGAGCCCCGCTGCCTGGGCATACGCATTGCCGCAGATCTTGCACTTGAACTTCTTGATGCCTAAATGCAGATGCTTGTGATGATAGAGAGCTTTGGGACGTGAGAAGGAGGCCTCGCAGCTATCGCACTTGTACGGCCGCTCCGTTGAGTGCATGGCCTGGTGCTCATTAAGCAGCGACTTGGAAGCGAAGCAGCGTGCGCATGTCTGGCACTTGAACGGCTTTTCGCCCGTATGCGTGCGTCGATGAACGATGAGTGCATCACGATAGCGCGAACGATAACCGCATAATTCACAGACATAGTTGCGCTCTGTGCTGTGGACGCGACGATGCGATGTTAAATTGTGTTGGCTAACAAAGGATTTGCCACAGCTCTCATGCTCGCACTTGTATTGCCGTAGACCCGAGTGCCCCTGCACATGACGTAGAAGAGTGCGTGAGCTTTTATATACCTTGTCGCACAGGTTGCACGTAAACTCTGTGTGGACCTTGCGACGATGCGTTAACAAGGCGCGTTCTACGTCAAAATTGGCATCACAATCATTGCACTTGAAGGCCTTCGGATACGGATGGCTCATTTTAAGATGAATATTTAGGTATTTAAGAGTCGTGTATTTGCCATCGCAATATTTGCATTTGTACTCCTTGGGTCGTTGTTTCTGCAAAGCACAATTGACATAACATCCACACCATAACATTTGTAACTCACCTTAAATACAGACTGAATTTCCGTTTCGCTATCTGCAGTATCGTCATCGTCGACATCGCTGAAATTCTGGGAACCTGCTGTGGCTTCGTCCAGTTCGTCTGCACTATGGCAGCAGTCCTCGTCCTGGGAATTTTTATTGTTTTCCAAAAGTACATTTTCCAGTTTGACCTCATTGAATGCACAGACACGCAATGGTTTAATGGCCGCAGCATCAGCGACGTTGTCATCTTCATCTGATCCATCGCTGCGCTCGTCGGTGACTGTAGATGGTGTTGCATTTAAAAGCGGCAGCTGTTGATACGCATCATTATTGTTGGCTCTGACATGCGTACGCGGTTTGCCCTGCTTGTCGAAATGCACATTGCGTATGTGCATCGAGAAATCGTCAAAAGCAAAATGTTTCATTTCGCAGAGGCAACAAACCAGCTGGAAGCTGCAGTGTTCGTTTTCGCTTCCGTAGAATATTTCTCCACATTTTGGGAGCAGTTGCTGATTGGCATGCAGTCGCGAGAAGTCCACATTGATTAGACACTGCTTTAACATGCTGCGAATTCTTTTATTTTCACATTTGCCATAAAAACAAACATAAACAAATTAACACTCTCCCAGGCAAGTACCAAAACAATGCATCGATAACACGAATTTAATAACAATAACAATGTCATCGAAATCACGCAGTGTTGAAAAACGTGGACGCGGGCTAATTTAAATTTGTTTTAATTGTGTCAGGCATTTTGAAATTGGTTGTGGCCGTTCCACGCTCGTTACGTTGGCGATGCCAACGCTTGTGTTGCGCATATCCAGCTGCCTGCGCGTAGGACTTCTCACATATGCCACACTTATATTGCTTCACTTGAGCATGCAACGGCTTATGGTGATAAAGAGCGCGCGCACTAAGAAATCCAACATTACATTCTCGGCACATGTAGCGATTGCGTCGCTGATCGGTGTCCATGTGGCGTTCAAAGTGAGTGGTTAGTTGGTATCGTGCCACGAATGATGCATTGCATATGTCACAACGGAAAGGTTTTTCGCCAGTATGACGTCGCTTATGCACCTTTAAATTTCCAAGTATACGAGTCCTATATCCGCATTGCTCGCACATATGACGCAGGACGTCCTTTTCGTGGTCAGCGTATTCTGCGTGATCTGAGTTTTTTGAATATGTTAAGCTATGCGTCTGTTTTGTATTTGTCTTGGCCGTTGTCTTCAATAAAAAAAAACCGTAATATAAAAGCAATAAACTGCATTCAGACGGCGCACTTACCAGAACCACACCGGCCATTGTCTCGCAGTGCATGCTAAATTTAATCGTTGGCATTATGTTAAACGCGCGATTTGGCATTTGTGGCTCGATTAATTGTTGTCAAAAGAAGCTAATTTTAAATTTCAATGCAACCTTCCTCTCCCTTCCTCTATGTAACTTACAGCACATTAAATGGAATCGAATGTATTTTACTAGACAATCGACTTAAAAATCGATAGCGTAGATAGTTTCGATTGATTCATTGTAAAAGCCTTGAATTGTTTTCAGTGCATTAAAAATCGAATTTATTTCGATAGAAGGCCGACATTAAAATCGATAGCAATACTCCCATTAATAAATTTAAAATACCATTCATTAAAAACGATCAGATAAGAATTTTAATGGCTGAGAATATATATATATATATATATATATATATAAATATATATATATATATATAAATATATATATATATATATAAATATATATATATATATATAAATATATATATATATATATAAATATATATATATATATATATATATATATATATATATATATATATATGCACTTTGTACATACACATAGAGATGTAATTCACCTAATCTATGCCTGAGTGCTTACAAATAAAAACATAACGAGTAAATAGAACGAACATACTATATAATGGAAGATAATGGATTATAGATTTCAGCCATTAAGCTCGTCGTTTCGATGTTTTCGCATATGCCCCGCCAGACCTGCTGCCTGTGCATATTCATTGCCACAGAGCTTACACACAAATTGTTTCGTGGCCGCATGTAGGAACTTGTGATGGTAGAGTCCCTTCTGGCGAGAAAAGGTAGCGCCGCATACTTTGCACACATGCGGTCGTTCCGTCGAATGCATGGCCATATGCTCGCGGAGACCTGAATGGGATGGGAAACGCTTGTCGCACTCCTTGCAGCCAAAGGGACGCTCGCCCGTATGGCTGCGCAAGTGGACGCGCAGCGTCTCCTTGTTGCGGCAGCTATAGCCACAGCTTTCGCACACAAAATTCTTCTGTTCCGAGTGCACCTTGCTGTGGTTCCGCATGTGACGCGTGGTAAAGAAACGCTTTTCACAGCCCGGATGGCTGCATGGCACATCACGCTCATTTGTATGTTTTAGCTGATGGCGCTTTAGCTCGTGACGTGTCTTATAGCGACGATTACATATTACACAAGGCGCACCACCATGCACCTTAACCACATGCTCGTCCAGCAAGCGTAATCGTGGCAACTGCGCATTACACTCAAGGCAGACAAAGGCATCGCTCAGATTGATGTCATGATCTCGTTTCACATGCTGCCGTAATGTATATTTTCCATGATAAATCTTGTCACAATGCTCGCATTTATATTTGGTGGATGGTTTGGACGCATGCACCTTGGGCGGTTCATAATCTACGTCCACGTCCACATCTACGTCGTCTTCTGAGTTTGCATCGGCATATTTATGTTGTCGCTCCATGTGGCGCTGCAGTGATTTCTTGCTTTGATACGTCTTATTGCAGTGCATGCAAACCAGCTGCTCTTTTGTAGCTTTTAGTGTTGCCTCCTGTTGCTGACCTATGGCATCTGAATTCTCAACGTCCGATCCAATGTGCTCATTGTATAGGCGCTCCGTCAACATATCCCATTTCATAATGCCAACGGGATCCTCCAAATCCTCCTCATCATCGTCATCGTCACTGTCGTCCGCCAACTGCTTAGTTGCGCCTATAAACTCATTTCCATTGGAGCCTGCCAAGTCATGTTCATTAGTCGTCACTTCATACCAAGAAAACAGATTGGTTTGTGTTGATGTGGTGCTGTTGTCCATTTGCTCCTGCTTCGGCAGCAGCACATCTGCCTTAAGTAGGCCATTCTCAAAGTGCTCGTTCTGTATGTGCAGCAGAAAATCGGCAAACACAAAGCTCTTCATATCACAGAAGGCACAGTCAATGCGATAGCTGTTTAGACTTTGGAAATATACCTCTCCGCACTTGGCGTTGGCGATACCGGCAAATGTGTCCGGCTTGAGTGCCTTCAGCATTTTCAATTTGTTATTTAATACGCTTCTGCTAACTAATAAACATTTGTATACAATTTTGTAAATCTGATTAGCCTGCCATAAGCAACGCAAACAAATCGTGTTGTCTTTTCAATTCTGACTGACTGGCTGAACAGCTGTTTTGCTTTGGTATTTTACAGCACTGTGCTTTTAAAGGATGCAGTTATAATCACTCAGTTGGCTGGCGCCAATTGGAATGCTTCCTTATGTCAGTTATATTTATATATTTCGAACTAATAAACATTTTTATATAATTTTCGAATTTGTGTTGGATTAAAACAAACGTCGTGCAATGTTTGTTATTTGCAGCTACAGACTGCAATGTCCAGTGTTAAGTAAGAATCAGGATATTTATTTTTAATAACTTTTCTTGGATTTGGAAGGCAAGGCTTTGACTATCTGTGATATGCGATTTTTATCCCTACAAGGAATATATCGTAATAAGTAAAGAAATTATATGTACTTTTCAAATAACAAATGAATTGCCTATGTACGTATGTATATATAAATTTATTAAATTATTATAATTTCGGGTTTCACGTGTATAAACTGGTGCTGCTGCAGGTGATAGGCATCCACAAACTTTTTATCGCACTGCTCGCAGCTGTATTTAGCTAAACGATAATGTTTCTTAAGTTTGTGGGTGCTCAGCGTGGAGGCACTTCGATAACTGTTGCTGCACAGATCACAGGCAAATGGCAATAGGGATGGGCTTAGCTCAACGTTGTCTGTGGGGTCCTGCGACTTCTGTTTACTGACATTTACATGCATCTTCCTCTTATGGGTGTCCATTTGATTACGGGTATAGAAGCTCTTGTCGCAGCTGGCGCAAGCCCAACGGCGTACTTGTGTGTGCCGCAGCTGGTGGCTGAGCAGTGCACTACGATGGGTAAACAGCTTTTCGCAATACTGGCATTGGAGATCCATACGCTTCTCATGGGTGCGCAAGTGACGCGTTAGAGTGGATACGGCTCGAAACTGTTTGCCACACATGTCGCATTGATGGGGCTTGCTGCCAGTATGGATATTCAGATGTGTGTCTAGCAGATAGCGGCGTCGAAATATCCGTCCACAATACGCACACGTTTTTGGTCTATTGCGTGGATTATAAGGACGACGATCAGGCTGTTTCGGCGATTCTTCATTGCAGTTGGACTCAACAAGCGTAAGAGCATCATATCCACTTTCTATGATTGTTGACGTTTCTATGATCGACGGCAGCTCAACGACAGGCTCATTTAAACAGTCGATGGGCGCCGTCGAATCGTTTGCTTTATGTCTTAATATTCGTTTTTTTAGCATCTTATCTTTTTCGATATTGGACTCTGGCTGCAAATGGTCACTGCTAAAGTGATGCTGGAATGCAACGTAATCCATTAAAGAGATGCCACAAGTGCATTTTATTAAAAACTTCGCTTCTACTGATGCGTCGCAGTGTATTTCGGCGCATTTTGTGTATACATTTATGTTTACAACTTCGACCATTTCTCACTGGTTGCAAATCAAAACAATAGTGAAGTAGTTACCAACACTAAACCCTATCTTCGTGCAATATATTAAGTGAAATTTTGCTGGCGCTTTCGATATTTCTTTATGCCGATAGACAACTACAACACGCGATTTGTAATTGTTCGATTGCACTGCAATTTCGTATACGTCTTCAGTTATCGTTCTATTAAATTGAATTAAGCGATTAGCAAACGTAGATACGGCCGGCAACATGCATCCCGATCTCACAGAACGCATCCTACAGCATTTGGAGGCAGTCGACAAAGTTGATACACTAGAACTTGCCACGCAATTCAGCGTTGACCATCAGAAAGTTGTCGGCGCCTTAAAGAGTATACAGGCACATGGTGATCTTGTTATTGCTGAGACAGCCACAAAGAAGAACCTTGAACTAACGGAAGAAGGCCAATCCGTGGTTGAGAAAGGCAGCCATGAGGCCATCGTCTATTCTTTGGTGCCGGAGGAGGGCATAGCTCAAACAGCTCTGATGTCTCTTGGTGGAGCCAATGCTAAAGTGGGCTTCAGCAAGGCCATGTCCCAGGGATGGATCTTGTTAGATAAGAGTGTAAGTCCGCCGCTGGTTAGGCGTAAAGTTGATCAGATTATCGACAATGTAAAGGAGCAGCTGGTGCTGGTGGCTAGCGGCAATGCGCGATTGACTGCTAAAGATGTGACTGATTACAAGAAGCGCAAACTGCTGCAAGAGACAACCATAAAGAGCTTTATTTTGAGCAAGGGTCCAGAGTTTGCCACAACACTGACCAAGCTGGAAACGGATCTTACCATGGATATGTTGACCAGTGGGCTATGGCAGCAGCTTAAATTCAAGTCATATAACTTTGATGCATTGGGCGCGACACCGACGCGTGGTCATCTGCATCCGCTACTCAAGGTACGCACTGAGTTTCGTCAAATATTTTTGGAGATGGGATTCTCAGAAATGCCCACTAATAACTACGTCGAGTCATCATTCTGGAATTTTGATGCACTGTATCAACCGCAGCAGCATCCGGCACGTGATGCGCATGATACATTTTTCATCAACCATCCGGCGCAAAGCCATAAGTTTCCGCAGGACTACCTGCAACGGGTGAAGACCGTGCACTCAAAAGGTGGATACGGATCGTTAGGCTACGGCTACGACTGGAAGTTATCGGAGGCGCAAAAGAATCTGCTGCGTACCCATACAACAGCTGTGAGCGCACGTATGCTATTCAAGCTGGCTAACCAAGAGGGTGGATTCAAGCCGGCCAAGTACTTTAGTATAGATAAAGTGTTTCGCAATGAGACTCTAGATGCTACCCATTTGGCTGAGTTCCATCAAGTAGAGGGCGTTATTGCAGACGTTGGTCTCACTCTGGGTGATCTAATTGGCACGCTTTACGAGTTCTTCCGAAAATTGGGCATAACTCAGCTAGAGTTCAAACCGGCATATAACCCGTATACGGAACCCAGCATGGAGATTTTCTGTTATCATCCTGGTCTGGGCAAATGGATTGAAGTGGGCAATTCAGGCCTATTTCGCCCAGAAATGCTGCAACCCATGGGCCTGCCTGAGAATGTTAATGTAATTGCATGGGGTCTATCTCTAGAAAGACCCACTATGATCAAGTATGGTATTAACAATATTCGGGATTTGGTCGGACCGAAGGTCGATCTAAAAATGGTTGAAGAAGGCCCTATTTGTCGATTGGATCACGTGTAGAGTTGCACTTGCTATTTAATCATGCTTTTCCAAATACATGTATTTGAACATTTTAATGCTCGCGCGTTTCGAACCCATACCCAATAAACCAACACTGCTTTGCAACACTGATAGTTTCGGAGAAGTAACATTACTGCCAATCGAAAAAGTCATCATAATAACAACGTAAACAAAATAAATATTGAGACTAAGGTTTTTAGTTTTGTTTTTTGTTTCTTCAATATAAATAAAAATTTTTTTTTCTGTAACATCGCCACTGTAGATTATGGCTGATGCTGATCTAGAATTGGACAAGGAGAATACACAAACACTGCAGCAATCCATTCAACACACATTGGGCAGCCAAAATGCCAGTGAAACATCGAAATCACACATTTCGATTGGGAGAAAATTTGTTATACCACAACTTATACCTAAGATAAACACTAACAAGCCAGCCACTGCAGAGCAAGTGGAGCACAGTCGTGCTGCGGCTGCCCACAATGAGCTACTACTTAATGCAATCAAAGTTAAGCAGAGCGAAGCGAGATATCCAACAGTATCCACAAAAGATAAGACTGTTGGCCAATTGACCATACCCAATCTTCTAACTGATTCGGGAGAGTCGCTCGAAAAGCCTCGCGTCCACGTACAGTTAAGCGACAAGCTACTTAAACAGAACAATTCATTGGAATTAACGCAAGTGGTTAAGGGAGTGCAGAGTCTAAAAATTTCTACCGACGATGGTGGTGATAGTACCAAACTAAAGACCACACAGGAAAAGCCAACACAAGCACCGACAACATTAATTGATTTAACCTCGACTCTAATTGCTACAGTTAAAGATGCCCCGCCACGTGAGGCGGCGACTAAGGTGCGCTGTAAGCAAGCAGCCGCTGTTGTGGAGCACTTCGATATTCCATTTATCAGCTGCGACCGTCCTTCTGTTGGCTTGCTGTCCAAGAAACGACAAAGCAGTATATCAGGCGATTTGGAGCCAATTGTAACGAGAGTTGTAGAGAAATCAAGTGCTGTTGGTAGCATGATGGATGCAACGGTAGGCTATCCAAGACCACGGAAGCCACAACTTAAATATGCTGCATCGCCCTTTGAATTGCAAATTTTGAAGTTGTATAAACGGGAGGATTACGGTACAAATATTAAACGGTTTCGCTTTGATACTCCATCACCCGATGAGATTGTGAAAACGGCTCTGCAAAAATCATTGCGCATATCGCGTACATAATCCTAGTAGTATTTATGCTTTATGCCTAAGTGTACAAGTTGACATTAAAAATTATTTAATATATTTCCCGCGATGAATTCACTTAGAATAAGCATTTTTATTTTCCAGTCTGCAAATCGATATATTTAGCAACTATCGATAAGCAAAAATATATCGCTCTCGCTGAATACATAATTTCAGACAAAAGAACATACACATTCACGCTCACACATATTTACACAGCCGTAGACATAGGCACAGACGAAAGAAGCACAAGTAACAGAGGAGAATGCGAATAAGAACTGCGTATATGTATGTGGAAATACAAAACAGTAGACACAACGAACGGTGTGCTTTTTCGGCATAGATCTCAGGCCTCAGACGCATTAAATTCATTCAATTAAAACGCACAAGCTAATAAAAATAACGTCGATAAACAAGCCGTTGGCATAAATTGTGATCAAACAGCTGTGAAAGTGGAAAGGGCACTAGAAAAGTAATCATACAGTGCGAAAGGTCAGCAGCAGCAGCAGCAGGAACATTTCGCTGTATATAAAACTGTGTATGCGTGTTTGTGTGCATGTGTATGTGTATATGTGTCTAGCTGTCACTTTCTTGCGCGCGCACAAGACATACACAAATTGAAATCAGCAACCACCCCTCCCCCATAATCCAACTAAAGACTTACGCTCCCGGTTCCGGTGCAATCGTGCCACCAACGTTGGTCAGTTACCCGTCCCTAGACCCACCAACAACCCAACACGGTTGCAATCGCACACATACAAAATAAAAAAATAAAAAACAAAAAAGAAAAAGTGGAAGTGTCGTTGCTGTTGCTGCATTTCCTTTTTAGTTCTGCTGCTCTATCTATAAGATTATCATCCACATTCAGCTCCAGGCATTTAATACAAGTGCCGGTGCCAACTTTGCCGTCGTACCGCTGTTTACATGTGGAAGTTGTTGAACAGGTAAAGTTTGTCTATACATACATACAATCCATAGTTACACTTTTTGAATGCGTTTGGCTATCTGTGTGTGTGTGTGTGTGTCTGCGAAAGTACTGCTTCTTTTTCAACTTCATTCCATGCTTGTCATTTACAGCTAATGAGCTGCGGCCAATATATTCCAGATGCCAGTGGCTGGGCACACCTAAATAATGAGCTTTGCATCTCCCTATTGCCATAAAACTACTCTTTAATGTGTAACCAGGGTGCAGTTAATTTCGCCCTCTGTAAGCACTTTTCTCTTTCCTAGTAAAAAGTATATTCATTAATTTAACCACGCAATACTGAATTTTAATTTGGAAAACTGCAAATCATTAATGTGTCCACACATACATACATGTATATGCAAATATATTTAGTGTTGTAATCATCCGATAGATGAAAACGAATATCATGTGTCATAGGGATATGTTGTGTTTTATATCTGGCTTTGGGTTGCACACATACTTTCGTATGTTTGTATATATGTATATGCTCATTATAGCTGTGTCTGCCTTTGCAAGTGACAAGTGACCTTGGCATAAAACGCCCCCGTGAATCGCTTTGCACAGAGCTTTACACACACCTTAGGCACCTATCTCGTACAGCTACATCGTCGTCAGCTGCTTTAGTTGTTATTGATAAAGAACAAACAGGAATTGTTGGATTGATTATACACGAGTATACGGCTTACATGTATAGAGCTACAGCTTTAACTTTTACACATACTTGAACAGACGCGTAATTATCACAAACATCATCATATGGACTCATGATTTTTTTCTTTTTATCAAGCTCACTGTGGGGAAATCATCGTAGACAAAAACACACACACATGCATGCAAATTATCAAGTTTTAATTATTTTAGCAGCACGCAAACACAGACATAAATACGCATAGATCAAAAGAGAGAGAAAGAAAACTAACTGTTATAAACATTTTTTTAGAAACGCTGACAACAACAACAAGAACAACAGCAACAACCACAAAAATAAAGCGACGCTACAAAGAAACCAGAACGCCAAAACAAAACGTCAGACATTAGCAAAATAAGTGTTGATAAACGTTAATTGCTGGAAGTATCAATTGCATATCAATTGCAAACTGTAAACAGTGCAGCAATAAAAAAGGAGCAGACGTCGAAAAAAACTGGAATAAAAAATCTAAAAAGCAGCTGCTGGAATCGCGGAGGTGTGGTGGCAGGTGCGCGTATTCAGCGTTTAGCCGGCTTTGTGTGTTGTACGCGTGTGCGGGGGAGGGGGGCGCGGTTGAGTGTCCACTGTTCGTGAGATGTTGTCATTCACTCCGCAAGTGGTTAAACGTTTGTTAGCACTCAAAAAGGGCAACGAGGACAATAGTGTCGAGGGCAAGTGGTCCGAGAAGGCCGTCCGGAATCTGGTGAAAAAGATCAAAAAGAATTCACAGATTGAGGAACTAGAACGAGCCATATCCACGCAGAATTGTAATACCCGGTGTGTGACTGTGCCGCGCAGCAAACCCGCTGCCACCGGCGAGAGCCTACGCAAGGGTTTACCGCACGTCATCTATTGCCGATTGTGGCGCTGGCCCGATCTGCAATCGCAGAATGAATTAAAGCCGCTCGAGCATTGCGAATACGCGTTCCATTTGCGTAAGGACGATATCTGCATCAATCCGTATCACTATAAAAAGATTGAGTTATCAATATTGGTGCCCAAGTCGCTGCCAACGCCTCCCGACTCCATCGTCGACTATCCTCTGGACAATCATACACATCAGATACCAAATAATACGGAATACAATGCTGCAATAATACGCAGCGCCTCGCTCAGTCCGCCACAGTATATGGAATTGGGTGGCAGCAGTAGCAACAGCAGCAGCAACACCACTATCAACACAACAGCAACTGGAGCCGGCGGCTATCAGCAACAGCAGCAGCAACAACAGCAGCATCATCAACAACTGCAACAACAACACTCACCGTTATCCTTTGGCAGCGTGGTAGGTGTCGGCCAGAACTTGCCACCGGGCAGCTGCAACATGGACTCGCAATCAAGTGTACTCAGCGTGGGCAGCAGCATACCCAATACGGGCACACCACCGCCGGGCTATATGAGCGAGGATGGCGATCCAATCGATCCCAATGATAACATGAATATGTCGCGGCTAACACCGCCCGCCGATGCTGCACCAGTGATGTACCATGAGCCGGCCTTCTGGTGCTCTATATCCTATTATGAGCTAAATACCCGAGTGGGCGAAACCTTTCACGCCTCACAGCCATCAATAACGGTGGACGGCTTCACCGATCCATCCAATTCGGAACGCTTCTGTTTGGGCCTACTATCGAACGTTAATCGCAACGAGGTCGTTGAGCAAACGCGTCGCCATATTGGCAAAGGTGTTCGCCTCTATTATATTGGCGGCGAAGTCTTTGCCGAATGCCTGAGCGATTCTTCGATATTCGTTCAGAGTCCCAATTGTAATCAACGTTACGGCTGGCATCCGGCAACTGTTTGCAAAATACCGCCTGGCTGCAATCTAAAGATCTTCAATAATCAAGAGTTCGCCGCCTTGCTATCCCAATCGGTATCCCAGGGATTCGAGGCAGTTTATCAACTAACACGCATGTGCACCATTCGCATGTCTTTCGTCAAAGGCTGGGGTGCCGAATATCGCCGACAGACGGTCACTTCAACGCCCTGCTGGATCGAGCTCCATTTGAATGGGCCACTCCAATGGCTCGATCGTGTGCTTACCCAAATGGGATCGCCTCGTTTGCCCTGCAGCTCCATGTCCTAAATGGGGCAACAAATTCAAAAAGCTCTTTGATATATGTACATGCAACACACACACACACATATATATATATATATATATATATATTAAATTTTTTTTTATATTTCACAAAGCAGAGCAATTGTAACACAAGAAGTGAGAACGAGAGATACAAGAAGCAAAATTCAGTCGGTAACTACCGACTGTCAAATACTCTGTTCCCGGCGACTGGAAAATGGACAATGCCAAAATCTACATTTATCATGTACATGCATCAAAAGTCCATGTTAATTTTTCTTCTAAATTGAAAATCGTAATACTTGTACCTTAATTGAACATATAGAAATAGTAGTATCGATAGACGCCAATATTCGAAAGTGTTATCCTCTTTGGGGAACAGAGTACAGAATAACATTTTCAATATATATTGTGTAGCTCATGCAGAAAAAAAGAAAACTTCTATATTCTATCTATATATACAACAATTGAGATCATGTTTTTTTTGCGTTACGAGCTTAGGGTTTTAGAGTGTAGGAATAGGCAGAGTGGGATGAGACGAGACATGCAAGCAACATTTTTCGATAAGAACATGCGACTCCATGTTTTAAACAGAAATCACATTTTATATACAGTTTCTAGACATAAAGAAGGCAAGGCGATGAAGATAAAACTATAAACGAAAAGAAAAAAAAGAAAGATTATATGATCCTGTTTAACAATGCTGGTAAACGCGCATCGCCATCATAGCGAGAAATTCAAAATTCTTTTTAAAGAACAAAAACACAACGGTGATTTGGGAAACGTTTTTCTAAGATTGGACAAAGCGAGAGAGAGAGAAAGAGAGAAAAAAACAGCGGAAACTGGGATTTTCAAGCTTAAAGCTTACACACACATACAGACATAAGTATATATGTGAACTATCTTAACACATTTATATAAATATAAAGAGAACTAAAATATGTCATATTGAATGCTATTCTAACGATTCGATTTTTGCTTAATATGTGTGTTTAAATCTTTAATTAACACAAATCTAGAAAAAAAAACGCAAGATAACGCGTTTTTTTTTTTCGTTTTACTCGTAAAAAAACAAAAAAGCATGCAAAAAAAGCTGGAGAAGCAAAAAAAATGCGCATAGATAAAGTAAAACAAAAGTAAAATTCAATTCATAAATATATTCAGTTCTCATACGAAAAAAACTCGAAAAAAGTTATAATGATACTGTAAAATGGGTTTTTTTATCTGTATGTAGCTTGGAGGGTTAAGCTAAACTACTTGCTTTGTTTGCATGTTGCAAATGTCATAGAAAACTAAATTTGTTTTTAAGTTAACGTTTAAATATGTTTTATTTTTTTGTTTTACAGCTAATTTTGTTTATTTTCCTTTTAAATGCAATTAAAAATCTTATTTGTGTTAGTGTGGCCATGCTGGCTACAGTACAAAATTACAAATGCGAAAATAATATTCGTACGAATGCCGCATTTTGTTGTTGCTGTAAGTTGGTTACATTAGAATTTGTATTTGTATTTGTATTTGGTCTAAGCTGCGCTTTGAGAGTTGGGCAAAGAGTTTGAAGGCAGGGAAGGAGAAGACAGTGCGCGATGGGGGTGTCAGTGTGGCCAGACATAAGAAAAAGTTCGCTTACATAAATTGATGCATACAAGCATGCGTATATATACATATGTAAATGTGTGTGTGCATATTTTTGCTAAAACAAATGTTATATTTAAGATCAACTAAGACAAAAACATATGAGAAGTAATAGAAAAACAAAAATAAAAGTCAACTGACGCTGAAACTGTAACTGAAAAACTGAGTAACCAATATGCGCAAATGCAAAAAAGGCGAGCAACCAATTACCAATACATATTAAGAAAAAAAGAAAGAATATATATATATATATATATACTACACACATGCAAGAAGATAAAGATATAAATACATACATACATACTTTTAAAACAGAACAAATGCAAACAAAAACGAAACCATTCAAACAAAACAAACAATTCTATGTATAAATCGTATATTTAAATAAACCTTACATATATTTTAAAACATATTCAATCGCAGTGAATCTTCATGTGTTGCTTGTAATTCGATTTGCGCAAAAAGCATGAGCCGCACAGCGAACATCGAAATGGACGAAGTCGCGTGTGCGCAATCTGATGGTGATTTAGCTCCGAGGAGCTAAAGAAGCGTTTGCCACAGCCAGGATGCAGGCAGGCGAAGTCACGCTGATTATAATGGCGTTTCAGATGCGTGTTCAAATAGCACTGGTCCGTTAGGACGCGTCCGCAAATGGGGCAAGTGAAGCTTAGCGATGCTGTTGAGTCAACCTGATCGTCCTCTGTCTGATCGTCCGTCTCTTTACTGCCGCTGCTGCTGGAATGCTGCAGCTTCATGTGCATGCGTCGCGCATGTATGGAATGAAAGGATAGGCTGCAGCTAGACGCGCTGCAGCTGTAGGGCTTCTCACCCGTATGCAATCGCCGATGCACGGCCAAATAGTTGGCAAAGCGAAATCCCTTGCCGCATATATCGCACTCATAAGGCCGCTTGTCCGTGTGCGTAACGGAGTGGATGCGGAGCTTGTTTAATTGCCGGAATCCTTTGCCGCACACCTCGCACACATGCGGCCGCTCGTCCGTGTGCGTCATTCGGTGTATGCGCAGGCCATAGCCATCGCTGAAGCTGCGTCCACACAGATCACAAATGTTCGCCTGCCGCTTGGTGGGCGTGGCGCGTTTCGATTTCGGTTTAATCGGCTGCGCCTGCGTGTGCGTCTGCACAGAGCTGCAGTGCGTGAGAGTTGGACGCGATGTAGCATCACTTGCTCCACTAACCAGTTGCAGAAGGTCCAGATCAGCTGTCGACGGTAAAAGCAACAGCTCGCTGCTGGCTTCCAGATCGTCCAGCTGCTCAAACAGCTGCACATCTTCGGTCAGGCAGGAATCATAGCTGTCATCTGGTTCTAGCTCCCGGTCTAACTGCTGCTCCGGCTGTCGCATGTTTACCAAGTGGGTTGGCCAGTGAGCTGCTCGACCTGTCGAGCGTCGCTTCCTATTACGTTATGTCTTTAGACCCGATAAGATTACGTTTAACTGTTTCGACTATAATAAATGAAAAAAACAAAGTACAACCTATTGCCGCTTGTACTTGGACACTAGCGTCGTGTCGGCTCCGGTTGTCACTTCTTTTCTTTATATTATTTAATTTTTATCGAATTGCTCCCAGCAAAGCAATAAAACAAAAATAAAGAGGCGGGCTATAAATGCAATTATTGTTGTATTCCGTTTGCACTTTAAACATTTAGTTGCTGCCGCGCACTTTGAACCAATCCGGACTACCTGGGCCGAGCTGTCGCACCTGGCCACTACTATACAATTTTATGAATAACTGTGCAAATACATACATTGTACACATATAAAAATATTGGTAATACAGGTCTTCGGTCTACGGCTCCCCCGCCTCCTCCGACTAAACAGAACTTTATCGACATGTGCACGTCTCACGGTCGCAGATAACACTATGCAACAGAACTTTGAACACGGATAATATCGACATACATATGTAAATACAAGCACACATACACACAATCACACTCACACATGAGCATAGGCGAGTGTGTCTCTATACTTATTAGGCAATTAGTCATGGTCTTGTAGCAATAACTTGAACATTGCGATCGGAAAGCATTTGTTGACCTCGACATTAGGCTAAATGAGTTGATCGTCTTTTTATGTTTTACATAATTTGAATTAAAAATGCAATTTTTAGATTTAACATAGCCAAGTATATATACATATATATACATATATATATATATATATATATATATATATATATATATATATATATATATATATATTTGTTTATGCATTTGTAATAATTATTAAAGTATATCAATCTAAAGCAATTTAGGAAACGAAACCTTTTTTATATCGATTTAAAACGTTTTATTTTGCGTATAAAAAACAGAAAAAGGATAAATATTTTCCATAATTTCAGCCTGAACTTTGCCCAAAACTAGACTTAAGCGACCTCACTTGCGATATGTCAGATGTTTTCTGGTGTACAGTGTAGCAGTTGGAGAGTAAAGGTGACATTGAAGTTGTCCATCCAACCCCCCAAGCACAACAATTAGGGCTGCGCGCAGTACAACCGGCTGCAAAGTTGGTAAGCAAAGGCCAAGCTGCAGCACGATCTAAAGCGAGAAAGCAATATATGTGTAACATTTACACATCTCTATCTCTATCTCTCTCGCTCTCTCTCCCTCTCCCTCTCACTAATGAACACCTACTTTCGTATTTACTCCACTTTCTTATTTCTATTCACGCTCTCCACGAGCATGGCAGCTAGCAGCGCTTAAGCTTAAGTGCGATCGAGAGATCGCTTAAATTGTTGTCCTTACTTAATCGAGAGAGCTTTTTCTACTGCTCTCATGTCAGTGAACAGTTACACATATTTGGAGAGAAGTTGCATACATTTGAGAGGCAGCTGTGAGTAGTAGCTAACTACCTAAGAAAGAGTATGGCAACATCATAAGAGTTTGCCAGGCTCACATGACATATAAATGGTTCTCTTTGAAAAGACTGGTTTTGATTTTTCATACAACTGAATTTTATGGCCGTTCTGGCAAAAAGAGTAAACGGTTAAATGATCATATTAATGGGTAGATGCGATATCAATAGGAATTGCGGCTACACTGTAAACTTTTGCAGCAGATGGCGCAACTCCCGGTTCTGGCGACGCAGGAAGACCACCTCGGCATCGTACTGGACACGCATCTTAAGTACCTCCACATAGTGATTGAGTCCGTGCTCTAGCGTCTTCCACAGATGGGTCTTTGAGTCAGGAAAGATGTTGGTGAATTGTCGCCAAAAAGCTTGAATTTCCTTATCATTGAACTGAATCAGCTCTGTTTCCAGGCTGCTTTCCGAGGAGCTTCCGTAGATTTGTTTATGCTTCTGCTTCGTAAATACATTCATGGCGTGCAGCACAAGCGCTGGTTCCATAACAAGATAATGATTCGAGCAAGTCTCCTTATTAACATGGCCCTTGACCAGAAAAGTTTTGCCATCGTTTTTGCCCTTTAGCAATGCCTGATCTGGATTGTTGACATCACCCAGCTTGAGTGAACGCGACTCTCTCTGGTCTTTCAAAAACACCTCTGCACATTTCATTGGACTAAGACCCGCTGGCTGACAGGTGGGACAGTATGTATACGGTTCAAAAACCTTGGTCAGCTCTAGCACATGATCTAAATTGCGAATACGCAATGCCGCAAATATATTATCTATGCGGACCATTGTCTGTTCCTTTTCCGAATAGGGCTTAAGTATCTTTAGCAAACGTTCTTCGATGAGAAAGCCACCGCGATCGGCCAGCTTGCGCAGTATGTTACGCATGAGACGTGCCGTTTCGGGCGGCAGTTCCTGCATTGGTCCGCGATGCTTCTCCTCGTCTTCGGAGGCGGTATAACCAGAACCTCCGTATTGTTTGGGCAGCTTGCCAAAGCGACGCTCAATCCGATCCATGGCATTGTTAACACGCTTCTCCACTGGCTTATTAATGTTCTCAATGTGTATGTTGGGTCTCTTCCATGGCATCACCAGCTGCTGCTCGTGCAGTATGCGATCGATCTCAAAGATGCGTGCCAGCAGTCCGGTGATTTCCTCGTAGTTGATGTTCCATACACGATTAAACTTCTCCCGATTAATGTTGCGCGTATGCATGGCCTTGGCCTCCATTTCGCTGATGCTTCCGTGAAGCTGTTGGATCTCGGTGGTTAGCTTCATGATGGTACGACGACCGCTGTGGAAGACCTGCTTATAGTTGCGCCTAGTGCGTGCAACCGTCTCGTAGAGACGCGCTACTCGGCGCTTCTGTTGATTAGTTATGATTGTGTTCTCGTCGTTGCGCCGCTGCAGCACTTGATAGTTGTAGTCCAGTTTTTCAGAGTTCATTAGCACGTTGTCACGTGTGCGTCGCAGTTCGAGTTCGAGGCGTTCGCATTCCTTCTCCAGACGCACGCGCGTCTGTTTTGTTAGTTCATCCTGCGAGTCCTGCAGCAATTGCAGCTGCAACGAATAGAATTGTTCGCGCACGCGCACCAGCTTCGATTTCTCCTCGAAGTTAGTATTCAGAGCATTGAAGAAAGTGCGCCACTTCTCATCAGCTGTCAACGAGAAGGTGTGACGCTCATCCTCAACAGTATGGCGAAGCATTTCCAGATGATATTTGTAGGACTCCTTGAGTGTCTCCACTTGATTGTCGATGCGTTCGACCAGGCAGCAGAGATCTGCAGCTTGGCGTTGTCTATCGAATTCGTACTTCGCGTTCATGCGATCGATTTCCTGCTGGCAGGATGCTATCATCTGATCCTTACGATCCATGATCGCAGCAATACGCTTCTTTTGTTCCTCAATCTGATCCCAAAGCAGCATCGGCTCGTTAATCTCATTCAGTTCGGTCCAGCGTGCTTTGATATTGTCAAACTTGGCCATTGCCTCAATATTCTCACCATCCAACATCCTCTTCATATCCCTCTGTTGTGTCGTCTCGAAAACGCGACGATTTAACTCACGTCGCTCGTTTGCTACGCGTATATTGGTTACTAGCTCGTTGCCAAAGCGCACTAGTTGGCCCAGCCGTGTGCTCGATAGCTCCAGCTGTTGATCGATTTTGCTCATTTGGCTCATTGCTCGTTCCGAAAATCCTTTCGGCGTATCCCGCTGGATCTGCCGGACGCGCTGCACAATAGTTTGCCTACGTTCATCCAGTAAGCGGATCGGCTTGTCGCATTTTTCATTGACCACAAGTGAATCGATATGCGCCTGAAAGGATTGCCAGCTGTCCACCTCAACGGGTTCATCTTCCGGCTCCGCTTCCGGCTCATCCTCGCTCTCCGCATCGCCATCCAATTCCGTGTTCGCATTTTCCGGTTCAACATCCTCGTCATCTTTGTTATCGTTATCCATATTCTAGGTATATATATTTATTTGTAGATGTTGCTGCTGCTGCTGCTGCTGCTGTTCGAAAAACAAATTTTAATTGTATTTCAAGCGAGAGTTCTGAAACCTGAATTGTTGCTGGGGACAGCTTGGGCTGCTACGATTCGGGCTTGATCGATATTGTTGCCATGTAACGCCATTGTTATTCCCAACGAGTTGTTTTCGAGGCTTATGCAGTTTTATATACATATCCGAATGTGTGTATTTAAAACACTTTAGTGTAAATTACAAAATTTATTTAAATGTTTCTTGCGTTCGCCTTGCGTACGTTCGATGCCAGTCGCTACCAGTGATTGTAATTAGGGTGACCATTGTTTCGATACCAATTAGAATGGGAACAGATGTCGGCACACGCTGTCTCGCTCACTCGAACACGCCCAAATACCAAATATGAATGAAGGTTGATAACATCCCAATGTATTACATATTTACATATTGTCCGTACATATGTATGTACGTGCGCATTTCTTTATTTGCAATACATAATCTAACAGCAAATGCGAAATACCAGCAGCAGCACCTACTGCACCAACGGCAATCGACAGTCACAATCGAGGCTGATGGCTGTAACAAATACAGCTCTGCGTGCCCTGAGTTGCATTTGCCTTTGTTTTGTTTGGCAATCTTTTTCGCCCATTTTGCCCCATTGCAAATCTGTTTTAAATTTTTGAAAAACTAGCAAGCAAATGCGCTTTATTGGATCATAATACACAATCATGGTTGTGGAATTGTTTAAAGTACACACACACACACATACACACACACACGCAAAGATCCGTATGTATGTGTCTATTTTTCTCTCTATTTACAATATGTTCTGCCAAGGATTGGACTCGGGGAGGAGGGAAGGGGAATGGGCCTGGCTGCCTGACTGACTGGCTAGCTCAGGCTCAGTTATCCTCAGTCTCCAATGTGATTTCATAAATTAACTCGTCTTCGTTATATTCGTGGCCAACCTGTTGCTGGTGCTGCTGTTGAGCTTGATGATCGAGAGCTGGATCTAGATACTCTTCATCGTCGTTCAGAAGTTCCTCAGAGCGATCCTCTTCATCGTCGGCCACTTGCTCAACCAGTAAACCATCATCGTCGTAGCTGCTTTGATCGTATTGCTGTGCATACGGCTGCTCATCGTCCACCTCGTCGTGTAGGAAGTTGCCGTTGACCGTTTCGTAGATGGCTTCATCGTCGCGTGTCTGATCTTCCTCGGCATCGCCAATGACGCCATCCATACCGTTAGCCTCTGTTGATTCAACAAGCAAACCAGCGTCCTCGTCGTATTCCTCCTCCAGCATGCCCACCAGCTCATTGCAATCGTCCAAACCGTCGCCATCCTCGTTTGTTGTGCGACCCTCAACCTCGTTGACGAGTCGACGGGTATTGCTCCGGCACTGTATGGAACGTTTGTGCGCGTCGAAGTAGTTGATATCGGTGAACTCCTCCTGGCAGAGATGACACACATATGTATCCTGATTCAGATGCATCTCCTTACGATGTCGCGCCATCTTGTGAGCATCTCGGCATTGCATGCCACAAAAGGGGCACTTGAGCATCCGCCGCTTGCCCATGTGCACGTTGCGAATGTGCTCCTGCAGCGAGAAATTCTTATAGTAGGCCTTCTGGCAGTGTTCGCACTTAAATCGTCGCTTCTTCTCATGTGTCGCCTCACGATGGCGTTTCAATTGGGTGTTCTGTGCGAAAGTCTTGCCGCACATCTCGCAAATGTGCTCCTTCTTCAGATGTCGTCGCTGGTTGTGGACGTGCAGATCCTGCTTGGTGGAAAAATATAGCTTACAGGGCTCGCAGACATAGGGTCTGATACCCATGTGACGCCGGGCATGGCCGGCTAAGTATTTGCAATCTCGATAGGTTTCAGTGCAGTAGATGCAGGCGTAGCGATTGGTGCCAGGTACCATGTGCGTCTTTTGGTGTTTGGACAGCTTGGACTTGTGCATGACATCGGGACAGATGCCACACTCCACCGGCAGCTTCTCATCGTGCACACTACCAATCATAGAGAACTCAACAATGGGGGTGCCATCTTCATCAAAGTCTACGATGGTGGCAATTAGCTCATCGAATAGCATGTATCGGCGGGGTCCCTTGAACAGATCCAGCATCTTTTCACTAGGCTTAGCCAATGGTACTGGCTCCTCGATCTCCTGTACATCTACTACATCTCTTATTTTCTCAAAGGCGTCGCTGCCAACTACCAAATTGTTGCGAACCAAGCTCTGTGAATTTGACTTCGATTTATTACGGCTCGGAGCTGATGACAGTGCTGTAGTTGTTGTCGTCGTCGTTGTGGTTGTGGACTCCAGCTCAATTGCCATTGATTCTGATATGGGTGAGAGTGTCTGTACGTAGCTCCAGTCGAAGTTCTGCTGATCCTGAACGTAGACATCGTCTTGGTATTGTTCATAATGTTCGAATTGCTCCTCGACTGGCATCGGTCCATCATTTTCCTCCTCCTCCTCTTCGACCAGATCATCTAGATCTTCCGGTAGCTGTTCCTCCCCCATATACTGCACATTGTCGAATTGTTCATCTTTTGGCACGCGTAGGAGATCTGTACAATTGACCAGCTGTTGACGCAAATGCGCATTGTCAATTAGCAATTGGCCTTCGGTGCCATCATCGTTAACCAACAAAAATTCCTCATTTTTGAAGTCTCTTCCCACATCCACAGAATCCAGGACCACATAGTGATTATTGCCATCGGCATCAGCATCGTCGTCGTCGCCGCCACCACCACCACCGCCACCGTCATTATTCTGTTCAGAGTATTCCGATTTCGAGGGCATTACGAATTCAATAATTTCTGACATGTCGATGTTAAGGCTCATCGGACTGTAATTCCAATTTTTATTTTTATTTTTATATTTTTGTCGTCTATTAATTTATTTAGCCGCTTTGCTTGTATTTATCGTGTGGCATTTGTGATTAGTGATGAAAAAATGCTGGTGTGACATATGTCGATTAGTTGTGGAGGCCGGGAGATTGTTATTTAAATTTGTCATACGATACTTACTAGCAGCTATCGCATAAGAGTAACCACTGATTTATTTGAATTCTTCTTTTTAATAAGACAACAAGAAAACAAAAAAAAAAAATATATATATATATATATATATATGTATATTATATATAAATATATATATATATATATATATATATATATATATATATATATATATATATATATATTTATATATATTTATATAATATACATATATATATATATTAATTTATATATATATATATAAATTAATGGTCAATATATTGAGCGCTACATATAATATAATAATACTTGCAATAGAGCTGAAGGAAAAAAAGTTGAAGAAAAAATATTTTCTTGGTACCGATCTAATCGATATATTTTCAAGCATTATCGACGAATTTGACGCAAATTGGCAGCTCTCAACACTTAACAATCGATATCAATTGTTGGCGCCCAAGTACGGCGCTTGCGTACCGACAACGGTTACGACTTCTTTTTTAGAGCTTTATCTTCACTTTGCGGTTAGCCAACTTCTTAGCCTCCCAACTTCACACACACTGCATTTCGTTGGCGCTTGGGGCTTATTTGATTTGCACACTTGGTAGCGTGCGCTTGTGCCCGAGCTTAGTAGCTGCTGCTGCTGCCATCCGTGTATTTTGTTTTGTTTTTGTTTACGTATCTTTTTTATCGTGTGAAGCGCGCGAATGCATAGTTGCCGTTACCTAAATAGTTTTGTTTTTATTAAGTTTGCGGTTTTTGTGCTGCGCTCATAGAAACATTTTGTAATTGTCGTGAAATTGTGTAAGCATAATTTATATTTATTAATTTTTTTGCTGTGCCAAAATATGCTTAAAATGCCTTGATAAAATATAATTTAAATGCACATCTTCAAAAGGGAGATTTAGAGTGAAAAGTGTGAAGTGGCCACAAAAAGGATATGCATAAGAAATATGTTATTAAATATAGTTTAGTATTATTGTTGTGTGTGTGTGTGTTTCTGTGTTGGTCAAGGTGAAGCGAAGGGCTTTTAGACCTTTTACCAAAAATATCTTTTTTTACTTTCAAACTTGGCTAGTTAATTGTGAAGATTACAATAACAGCAGCAGCAACAGGGGCAACATAATATGGCTAATAAATAAATAAACAAAGCGACAACAACAACAATAACAAGCAAGATGAACAACTGAAATCAAATAGCATTACGCAAAGTTAATGTTGATGTTGATGTTGATGTTGATTTAAGCTTTTATTTGCCTATTTGCCTATTTGAACGTATTTATTTTGTGGCTGCTGCAATCGCTTGGCATATTATTTGGTTTGATTCGATTTGATTTGAATGCAAACTTGACCCACTTACGAATTGGCCAATTGGCCACAGTTGGCCATCTCTCCTCAGTCGTGTGCGCTGGCCTTAATTTTCTGCTGTCTTTGTAATGCATAGAAATTTTCATTTTCAGTTGCTCAGGCCTGATCGCCAGGTCGGTCGACTCGATTTTTGCGACGGGGCCAATTAGAAGAAGCGACTAGCAGACAGTAACTATCAGCCGGCAGGTGCAACTACAGGTGTTGTGTGTTTGGCCAACGGCAAACGGCAAACGGCAAGCGGCAAGTGGCAAACGCCACCAAGTGGCATAATTTGCGGTTGCAGTTGCAGTTGCCCGCGTCGGGCGCAACGGGAAATTGGAAAATCGGAAACATGTTCTTGCGGCGTCGCCAGCCGCAGCCGCAGCCGCAGCAACAGCCACAGCCACAGCCAGAGTCAGAGCCAGAGCCACAGTTGCTTTCCTCTCTTATCTGGCAGATGCATCGACAAGTGCATTTTGTGTGTCATGCTGGTTGGGCAACCAGAACGGCAATCGCACTGGGCGTGTTTCTTTTAGCAGCCACAACACCTGTCGCTGCTGCAGCCGCCACTTCAGCTGACGGCGCTGCCGCCACTTCTATGCAAATCCAGACATTGCAGGTGAACTGCACGCGCGAGCTGCTGGAGATGCAGCTAACATTGAACCGTGCATTCCGGGGCCTGCTCTACGCCAAGGACTTTCCACTGGAGTGTCGCTCGCGCGGTCAGGATGCCACCCACATAGCCTTGCGTTTGCCCACCTCGGGCTGTGGCGTGCGCGCCGAGCCGCTGCCAGACGGCGGCATGGAGTATTCAGTACGGATCATGCTCCAGACGGAGCAGAAACTACGCCAGAGCACGGACATTCTGCGCACCATACGCTGTCAGCTGCCCGCGAAGGCTATGGGTATGCCGCTGCCGCTGCACGGCAGAGATCGGTAGGCAGGCATTGCTATAGATAGACCTCAGGGAAATTACATTCCGAACTTCTCATCTCTATTCGTTTTGCAGCAATGCACGTATGCGCGCCTTGGCCGTTGTTGCGTCTGCGGCAGCAGCACCGACGCACTTCATGGACACGCCACGGGTGCGCATTTGGCTGGAGCTGGGCGGTCCGAATGGTTCGGGCTCCGTGGAAGTGGGCATGGCCACCACCTTAACCGTGCGCGCCATAGTGCCGGGCACGATCGGTGTACGCGTCGTCGACTGCGCTGCTCTAGATGGCTTGGGTGAGTCTACGCAGCAGCTGCTCGACGCTCGCGGCTGTCCCATAGACGAGCAGGTGAGACGACAATTAATTAATCATAATTTTAAATCTTTTGTTTATTTTGTTTATTTTGCTTATTTTGTGTGTGCGATTAATTTCTGTTGCCCATCGATTCGATTGGCTAACTTTCATTTCTGCGAAAGTGATTTGAAGCTTTACTGTTTCTGATTAGACTGGCGTTGCCAGTGTTGTGCAATTGCGCTTGGTGCTGTGTATCATTAATTATAACGGTTATTACAGCACACCGACGTCAGCGTCGACGTCGGCAGCAGCTAGTCAAAAATGTAAACTGTTAGACATAATTACGCGCGCATCGTTAGAACAGTTTGCGTTTGCGTTTGCGTTTGCGCTTGCCCAGCCAAGCAGCTTAGCGGCCATTAAGCAAGCAACTGCTTCTGCCCACAAAACAGTTCTTCAGTTCTTCTTGAGTAAATTAGGAGGTCACAACAATTAGCCAACAGTGGTAGATATATACGTGTATATATATCTTTTTTGACACGGCTTCAGCCTGGGCAGTGGCAATAGCAATGCCAAAGCTAAAACCATTTGCATTTGATTGTCGACGTTGACGTCGGCGTCGGCATCGGCGTCGGCGGCAGAGTCGTCGCAGCTTTGTGCACATGTCATGCCATTAAATGGGTCAAACAAATCTTCTGCCACTGCCATCTCTGCCATTGCTGCTGCTGCTGTTGGCCATTGTGTGAGGTGCTGGCAAGAAAAATCTCACGGCTTAATTTTTATTTTTATTTTTATTTTAACGGACAGGGGCAAAGCCAACAAAAAAACATTTGCATTTTATGTTTGTTTTATTGTTCCATCACAATGCTAAAAACATCAGTCACCCACCTGCCCCACCTGGCTTGCCTGCCCCGTTGACTCTTAGCTATGCGTTCGTTGGTTGTCTTCCGTTTCAGCACATTTTCATTTTCTTTCACATTTAGTTTTTTTTTGCTTTTATATACGTCCGTGTGTGTATGTGTGTGCACAAATAATTTATGCACTCGCCCATCTCTAGCTTGGATTATTTATTTGGCTCACAAATGGCTTCTAGGTCGAGCAAAGCTTTGCTAAAAAGTGAAATAGAACAGTTTCTGATCAGAATCTGACCTACAAAATATGTGTGTGTGTGAGTGTGTGCATGCAGGTTGACTCACAGCAAGACTGCATTTGGCCTAAAAGTGTTTTGCAAATTAGTAAGAATGAAAGTTCGGACTAGTAGCTCATTGTCAAGGCTTAGTTTCTTGTTAATTGTTATTTTAAGAGTCAGCTTTGTTTCGTTCTTAGGGTTGAACATCGTGAAAAACAACTGTTATACGCTGCAGTAGTCATATATATAGCCACGCACTGAGGAGTACGCAAATATATATTCCTGATAAGCAACAGCTGAATTACTAACTATTTTTAATGACAGCCATTAATTATAGTCATAATAATTTAGTTTTATGTCACACACTAGAAAACAATCAGTTCTCGATCTGTTGGTATCAGGCTAAAACTCTCCTTTTACTATTTCCATTTCAGTCTGGCAACGCCAGTCCTGCAAGTAGCCTCATTCATTTGGTATAAGACCTGATAAAGTACTCAGCATTGAGCGACTTCAACGGCAATATAAACTCTTCTATTTATGTGCTAAGCTGGCATCGCCACTCCTGTGAGTGACTGTCTTATACAGCCATGCAGGCAAGTTGAAAAGTGATTGAAACTCTTCTATTCGTGTCTAGGCAATGTCAGGCTTGTGAGCAGCTGTTGTTGTTGTTGGCTCAGTGATAGCATAAGACATTGAAATGTGCAGCTATGCCTATTTTTGGCAAAGCTATTCTGACTTTTATATTTCTGATAATGCTGGCAGCGCTAGTCCTGTGAGCAGTCGTTGTTGTTGTTGTTGCTTTCATTACATTTATATAACAGTCGTCTTTCTGATAATATAAGACATCTCAATATGCGAACAGATGTTTGTCCTGCAGCGAGCTTAATAGATTCATGTTTGAACTCATTTGAACTTCCGTTGCAAGCAGATTATTTATTTGTTTGTTTATTATTGTAATTGTTTCAAGTTTCTCTCATACAGACACATGCACGAGGGAGCCCACGTGCTTGAGGTATCTAAATTGAAATGAGATAGCGGCGTCTAAACGTGTGTGTGTGTGTGTTAGAGTGTGCTGCAAGTACAAGTGGCAAGGCAACAACAATGGCAATACGTAAATCACATGAGTCTGTAATTTCAGACACACGTCGAGACACACACACACATATACTGGCCTCTGTATATGCTGCAATATGGCTAATAAACACACGCTTACATAGAGAGCACTGTAGAGCATTGTTGCTGTCCGTGAACTTGGCTTATGGCTTTTGTTACCGTTGTTCGCAACGGAAGTAACCAAATAATGCACGTCTCAGAGAAAGAGGGAGAAAGAGAGTGTGTGAGGGGGGGGGGGGGGAGGGTGTCACTGTCGTGGCTAGTGATGTGTGTTCGTGTCGTCAGCAACAGCTTAACAATTGTATAACCGGCCATAAACAGAGCTCGCACTTAAACTGAGGTCAATCAGAACTGGTTCAGTTTGCTGACAGTTATCCATTATCTAAGCGTTTACTTCTAATTCTCGGATGGTACTTTCAATTTCGACAATTGCTTCGGAATATATGGAAAAGCTAGCCAGCCTAAAGGCCAGGTCAACGTACGCAGACGCAATTCTCTGTGATGCGTTTTTCTGCGAAGTCGCTGCATTGTCATAGAGACTGCTGACATCTAAAGCTTAAAGCTCAATACGGCAAAATCTTAATATTATTCAAATAAAATTAACAATCAATAAAGTCGTAAGAAAATTCAGTCAGCTTAGTTTTAGCTTCGACTATTTTCGCTCATCTAAATTCACTTTAAGGCTAACGGCACATCGAAAGTCTACCTCATAAATCTATGTTATGCCACTTGCCCGCCTCAGCAGCTAACCAATACCCTCTCTGAAGCTCCGTTGACAGTCGATCAAATCAATCGTAATAGCTTCGCTTAGCTCATCGACAACCACAAAGTAATAAACCCTAAGCTTTGACTTTAGGCTAAAATGAATTTTGGAGCTTAGTAAAGAAGGTCGTCGACGTGTCTCCAAAAATAGTAGTTAAACTATGAACAAATTGTTGCTTTTTGTAGTTACAATTGCAACAAGCATTTAAAATAAAACATACAGCCGAAACAGAAATATTTTATGTTGTTTATACATATATATATATATATATATATACACATAGGTAATGCCAGCATTGCACACAAGATTGAAGCCCGCTGAGGAGGGCTGGTCCAAGCAGCATGAGGAAGATCTGGTCGAGCGCACGTTTATGGCCACATTTGCCGCCTTCAAGTTTCCCGATCGCGAGCGACTGCACGTGAGCTGTGGCGTGCAGCTCTGCAAGGGGAAGTGCCCAAGTGTAAGTACTATATATATGTGTGTATAGATATTTGTACAGCTATGCAAAATTAGCTAAAGCAACAAACAAGGCATTTCAAATGCATTTTAATTAATTGCAATGAAAACGAAAGTGTTGCTGCTGCTGCTGTTGCCGTTGCTGTTAACGATTTTCCTTGTGCTGTGTGTGCAGCGGAGCGTATACTTAATGTGTGTAAGGCGCCAGTAATTAATGTGGTTATTGCACTGAAATGCACTGAACTGCAGCACGCAGTAGGAACCAGCGGCTGGCAGCAGCAATTGCCCAAAATAATGTCCACGACGTCAACTGAAATGAAATCTTTTAACTTGTTCGCATGGCGCAGCTGAATTGTCGCCTCGCCGAGCAGCAACTGCACCTGAACGGCGATCACCACCTGGCGCGCATCGAGGTGTTCAACTCATTGGCCGTGACAGCACCGCAAATCGAAGTGGATCGTCTGCGCTACGATCGCCGCTACAATATGAGTGGTAAGTGCTATTCTAACCGGCATTTCCATTGGGACTGATCCATATGAAATTTGCTTGCAGTGGAGGATTATGTGCCGCATGTGCGTCCGCTGGTGGGCGAGGGCACGTTGTGCCTGTCCATCTCAAAGTTGGCCATATCGTTTTGCATACTGGGCTCCATCTTTCTGGTCGCTGTCATTGTGGCCATCTTTTCGCTGATTCGCACGCGTCGACGCCAGCAAGGGCGATGCTTGGGCTTGGGCATGGGTTTGTCTGGCGCTGGCACAGCGACTGGCAGCACATCGAACAACAGCAGCAGTCGGCTGCATCGTGCCGAAATATGTACATCGATGTTCTCCTCCAGCAGCGAATCGGCCCAATCTGGCCCACGTTTTGGCGGCAAGTTTTTGATGCCCTTGCCGTACTATCCAACTACTTTGCCCTATGGCCGCGTCTATTGAGTGCGTGAAAATGTTAAGATTCATTTGTAACTTTTGTTTCGATTCGGGCGTATTTTGGTAAAACAATTCTATAGACTGATGTGGCTTCAATCTCAAATATGTAATTCGTTTAACGAATTCTCAACGAAAATACCAAAATAATTTATAGCGGCACATATATCTATAAATATATATACGTATATATATATATATTTAGTTGAAAGCGCCTTGAAAGCATCTTACATAAAAATGCTAAAATGCATTTTGATGCGTTTTCATTGTAATAATTGTAGCTTTAATTACAATCATATTAATTTTCTATACTTTTTTTTGACAGTGCAATTATAATAAAAATTTAAATTTAAAAACTATCGATTGCTTGTTTTCTTCTATTGTTCGATTATGCCAACTATCGTTGACAGGTTGGCAGTTTTCATCTGTAAGCGATAGGTTTTTCGATAGCGATAACAACAACACTGACCAGCTAAACGAGCACGTTGTGTTGTGCGGCGCACTTTGAAAGAGTGTGTGTTTTGTTTGTTGAATAATAAGAGAAGGTACCGCAAGATGACAAAGACGGCGCCAAAGGGGCGAAAGAAGCCGACAGGCCGCTACTTCGATGCTGCAATCACCGTCAAAACCGAAGATGGAGAAGCTAATCCATCGAAACCAAAACGCAGACATCAAAAAAGTTTTACAGGTGATTTTCTCAGAATGCAGTCGCAGGATAAAAATAAAGCTCTACACAAGAATAAACGTCCTAATGTTACTGAAAAACCAAAGAAGCAAAAGATACCACAGGAAGTTTTAGATAAATATTCACGTGGCGATGCCGTCGACTCGAGTGGCGTCAAAACGCGCCACTTTAAGGAGAAACAGAAGCGTAAGGAGATCTACTTGGACTATGCCACAGAGCAGGCAGCACGAACAGAGCTTTTACTGCAGGAGACGCCTGGAAAGCTGGAGGCTGATGAGGGGGAAATCACAGCGGAATATCGTCAATCGGAGATTGCTGCCAATGTGGATCTGCAATCGGCAGCGAAGCATTTTTCTCTTAAGCTCGACTTTGGGCCCTACACCATGCGCTATACAAAGAACGGGCGACACTTGCTGCTGGGTGGGCGACGCGGTCATGTGGCCGCCTTTGACTGGATAACCAAGAAGTTGCACTGTGAATTCAATGTGATGGAGACCGTAGCCGATGTGCAGTGGCTTCATGTGCCCACCATGTACGCGGTAGCACAGAAGGAGTGGGTCTACTTCTATGACAAGAAGGGCACCGAGCTGCACTGCGTCAAACGACTGACGCGCGTCAATCGAATGGACTTTTTGCCCTATCATTTTCTGCTGGCAGCCGGCAATAGTGCTGGCTATGCATCCTGGCTGGATGTCTCGATTGGTGAGCTGGTGGGAAACTTTAATACGGGCCTGGGCGATATACGACATATGCGTCACAATCCAGCCAACGGTGTCCTCTGCATTGGAGGCGGCAAGGGAGTTGTGTCCATGTGGTCACCAAAAGTACGCGAACCTCTAGCCAAACTGCTCTGCCATCCTACAGCAATGACAGCGCTGACAGTCGATCCGAAGGGTGAGCATCTGGTCACCGCTGGTTTGGATAGGCTTGTTAAGGTGTGGGATCTCAGGCAACTGAACGATAAGCCGCTGGCCATCTTTAACCTTCGTCTGCCGGCCAACGAGGTCGAGGTATCGCAGCGCGGTATGCTGGCTCTCTCACAAGGCACGTATTTGGAGACCTACACGGATGTGCTCACAAGTGGCGGCACTGGCCGTAGGAACAAGCTACCCTATTTGCGCCAGCGTTGCGATGCGTTCGTTCATGGCATGCGCTTTTGTCCCTATGAAGATGTACTGGGCATCTCAACAGCAAATGGCTTCCAATCGCTGCTGGTGCCAGGCTGCGGTGAGCCTAACTATGATGCGCTCGAGGACAATCCATTGGAGACGAGCCAACAACGTCGTGAGCACGAAGTGCATGCATTGTTGGAGAAGATACCGCCAGAGTTGATAACTCTGGATCCACATGAAATAACTGGAGTAGATGCGCCCACACTCCAGGAGAAGGTCGATGCCAAACGGCAGCTCTTCCATTTGAAGCCACCCCGCATTAATATGAATCCGCGCCATAAGATGAAGGGGCGTGGCGGCAGCGCCAAAGCAGCACGTAACAAGCAAATAGTTAAGGATCTAAAGCGCAAGGTGAGACAACTTGAAATATGCCTTTATAACTCTGACATTAACATGATTTTTTGTGACTCAACAGGAGTTTATTTCGGAGGTGCGCAAGGCCAAGAAGGACATCATTGCCAGTCACGCCGGTGACGGCGACAATGCACAGCAGACGTCGGGTGAAAAGTTCATAAAGCCAAAGGTTGTACGCTCCGTTTTGGATCGCTTTAAGCCCAAACCTCAGAAAAAACAGAAGCCCACAAAGTGAATAACATATTAGTTGTTGCTTTTATATAGTAATTTGATTAGCTATAAATTTAAATAACAAATTCCTAATACTAAGACAGTTCGAAATACAAAAAGTCTTTTGAATATCTTTATAGACATATGCGAATGATTCTGCTTATATAGGTATACTTATATCTTTGTTAAGCTTAACAAATACGTTTTGTTACCATTTTGGGTTGTTTTTTTAATTTATTATATTATAAATTTTATTATTAAATTCTAAAAAATGATTAGGATCTACATATATACATGCCCAATATGTATATATATATAGTCATCTAGAAGTGAAGGCTTGATAGCCAAGATGCTAGCTTGATCTAGCGCTAAGTAGTTTCAGTCTGGGATATACGCTGTTTTGGCTCTATTCATAGATGAAAATGGACTTCAAGTAGCTGGCGATACTTTCGGGTGAATTCCTTTCAACTTTCTTGAGTGTTGCTTGCAGTTTGCTGGCATTGCCACAATTACGCGCATGATAGAATAGATTCAAGATGCGCTTTTGGTTTTCGAAGCGACTCTCCTCTGTGCTGGAACCGCCCGTCACAAGCAGCCTTTCAATGTTTGCAAACACATCGGTTGCGCTCTCGACGAGAGCCGTCATGAAGACGATGTTTTGCTGGCGGCAAAGCGTAGACATCGCTGTTAAGGTGACATCGGCTACACTGGGCTTGAGCAGTAGCTGCGGCAGATAGCTAAGAAATTTGGTAAACTGCTCCTTGCCGCCGTAGCCGTTGTAGAGCTCAACGCGCTGCACGATCAGGCATAAGAGGTTCAACACCTTTGTGGCGACACCTTCGCGCGTTGTATACTGTTGATCCACATAAGCGTCGATGCAGTTTTGCATCGCCGTGCCCATTTGATGGGCCTGAAGCTGCAGCAGCGCCGCACCATTGTCCAGGAGCAGTGCCCGCAATGCGGCCACCAGGCGTAACTGCTCATCCGTTGTCAGTGTGGACAGCTGGCGTAGACATTGGTTAATGTAGTGCAACAGACAGCCGTAGTCATCGCGTTGCTCGTCATCAGGCTGCGGCCAGAAGTGACAAACGAGTTGAACCAAAGTTAAGTTTTGAGCAATGCACAATTCTCCTCCAGCTGCTGGCGTCATCTTGGCCTTTTTCTTGCTGTTGTTTTGTTGATTGACTGCCAGCGGCATTTGTTGGTAAGGATAGTTGCTGTCCTTCAGAAAGATCCGCACAAAATTAGCTGCATAGGTCTGCCGCATCCAGGCGCTTAGCTCTTGTGTACTATCCTGTTGTGTGGCCTCGTATTGGAGCACCAGCTGCCACAACTGTGCCATGATATCTAAGAGCACGTGTAGACTGCCTGCCGCATCGCCATTGAGCAGTTGGTTTAGTTGCTGCTGTTGCGGACGCACCTCAATCCAGTTGTCATGAAGCAGCGGCATCAGCTGCTCCACATAACCGAGCAGCTGCTCGTTCTCAGCCTTGCGCACTCGCTCGCCAAGAATGCTGTACAAGTCCCGATTGTCTACCAGCTGCGGACGCAGCACATTGTAATGCTGCACTTTTGTGACATCGTAGTGGACGACACGTGCCGCTGTGCGGGCTCTGCTGTCGCTTTGGCAATTCTGTTGCAGTAGCGTACTGAGAATTTGTTGTAGACGGAGGAGCACTTTGGTGCGCCACTTGATCGTCGTCTGCTGGCCCTGGCCCTGCCCCAGGCGCACGGTGAGCAGTCGATTTGTGTGCTGTGTATCGTGACGCGTACGTGAAATCATGTCTATGAAGTTGCTTATAATAGTGCTTGCACTGCGCTCGGCTAGCAGACGCGAGGGAACACGCTGTAGCAGCACATCCAGTAGAAGTAGTGAGTCCTCCTGTATGGATGGCTGTACGTGCGTCATGGCACAGCGCAAATAGGCGGCAATGATGTGAAAGAAGGGCACAACAGCCTCAACGGGCAGTCCCTCGAGCAGCACATCGAGCGTTTTGAACGATTCACGTCGCACCTCCTGCTCGATATCCAAAGCGCCAGCTGCAATGCCTTGCAGCAGCTCATTGAGATGACCGATTAGATGACCAGCCTGACCAGCTTTAACAGCATCGCGCACATTGCGCAGAGCGTCCGTGCGAAACTTAAGATTGTGATGTTTAAGTCGGGATAGAGCTTCTTTCAGGTTCAGTTGTCGCTGGCCGTTACTAGCTGATAGAAAGGATTCCTTAAGCTGTGCGCGTATTTCAATCTTGCGCACCTTAAAGTCAGTTTTGGTCACATTGAGTCCCTTGGGTAGCTTGGCGCCTTTTAATTTCACTTTTGCCTTTTCGGCACGTAGATTTTTCTTATGATGTCCACCCATTTTAATAAATTCAGATTTTGAATCGAGACATGTGCTGCTCTGCAACACGGTGCGAGATACAAAATATCAGATATTCGACCTATCGATATTTGTCAAAGCTGCTGTAATGAACTAAAACAGTGCTGCCATCTATTCGATATTGCCATCCAAAATGCAGTTTGCGCGCTTAATTTGAATTTGTCTTTGTCTATAGAATGCAAAGTAGATGCAGCAAATAGAGCTGGTCATTTTCCTGCGAAGACTTTGTATGGTTTATAACACTGAGTTTTGCACTTGTAATTGCTGCACCTCTTATGAAATTGGTTTAATCAGATTTAAGTAGTTCTGTTAATTGAAGGGCGTGCCTTTAACGACTCTGAAAGGCGATGGCAATTACATAATGTATCGTTGTCTACCTAGCACATCCTGTGAGCTCACTAATTGTTTGCGCTTTACGACCTCTTTGTCAATCAATTAATCAGGGCGTGTTTTTTAAAGTTCTTCTGTCGTTTGTTTTATTTTTGTAATTAGCTTAAAACGATTCCAAATGTGAGCTTAGCTGTGATAATTTCATCCGACGACCGTTTTCGCTTCAAGGTGAACTGGTTACTTAGTTGGTTGCCTATCTTCTCAGAATGCTGGACGGGTTCAAAGTGTGTGCATTAATAATTGCATAACGCCCACAGATCTTGTCAGCAAATCACATTCCAAGTATAAATTAAAAAGTGCACTGAGCACGTATTTTGCCGCTAGCGTTAAAGTTAGCTCAAGCGTTTGGGTTAATGCACATTAAATGTGCAAAAGGCTAACGTGAAGAGACAGCTGCACACATTTATCATAGTTGATGGCACATTAGGCATTTGGTGACATTGGCTCGATGCATTTTTGATAAAATGCAAACGATTTTCAATTATTGAGAGCTATGTAATTTAGCTCATCGACAGAGTGTTTAATAATAAACCCCAGTCTTCAGGGCTGACAGCTGGACATTTTCACAAAGGCTAAGGGCAATTGTAAAGAGGCGTTGGTTCCTCGTTACTCATTCACCAAGGACACAACGAGAAAGTTTTGAAGGCTTTGCATACATGATATTGATAACGGAAAGTGACACGTCAGGCAGCTTAAGCTGCACAGATTTCGGCCACCGACACTTGCCACTAAAAAGACAAACATAACCAGCAAAAAGCCAACAGCTTAAAAACAAAACAAACAAAAACAAAAATCCAAACGCCCGTTAGGTCCGTTAAGATGCGTCGTAATTGCTGGCAACTCTGTACACTTCGTTTTTGGCGCGCTCTTCTTTCGGCAGTCGCTCGTTGCCCGACAGCCGATGCCTGCCTGCGACAATTCGCCGCATCAGTTGTAATCGAAGTTTGAACCTGCGCGGTCGTGCTTTGCTTTTTTCTTTACGGCTGGCTGCGTCGTTGAGCCGCTGCAAAAAGCGTTCAATTCGTCGTTAGAGTTTCTTTGTAGCTGTCTACGACCAACAAATTCATTCACTAAGACGCTTTCCTCTGCTGCTGCTCCCTTTTCTAACTTTGCTGTTGCGTGCGTTTCGACTAGTTTTTTTTTGGTTGTTTTATGTGTCTATTGTTTTATACAATTGTTATTTTTTTTGCGGTGGTGCCCAAGTCTGTTGTTTAAATGTTTAATATTTAAGCAGCAGACTTTATTTGCTGTTGCTTTTAAACAATAAATAAAAGAACAGTTCCGCAAACCCGATTTGCCAAATTATTCTGTAATACAACAACAATAAAAAGCAACCAAAGCTCAGCAGCATCAACATATAGATAGAGAGAGAAAGAGGAAGAACGAGCAACGTGATAACAACGGCGCCATACGCATGCAACAGTTGCAGCTGTAATAGTAATAATAATAACAACAACAACGCCAACAACTCTAACAACCAATCGGAGAGCTTTAAAGCCGGCGTTTGCGTCGGCGTTTCGAGCTTCGCATCGCACACACACAAACTTAACTTATATACAAACTTTTCTCGCAGTGTATTTCGGTGTGAATTTAGTTTCTACTGTGCTGGCAGGTAAGCTTTGTTTCATAATTACCAATAATCATTATCATCATCTTCTTTATCATCATCATCATCATTATCATTATGAACACGTTCAATGAAATTGGCGCCAAAAGCGCAAAACAAGTGCGTGTGAATGTGAGTGTGTGTGTTTCATTTCCGTTTCTCTTTTTACTGTCATATTAAACAGAGACACAGACAGAGAGAGAGAGAGAGAGAGAGAGAGGGAGAGAGAGAGATTTAGCTAGAAAAAGCTGCTGCAATTTTGCTCATGGCAACCTAATTTGTTGCAAGCCAAGCCGAATCTTTCTAAGTTGTCAAAGACTTTTATGTTGACAACAGCAAAACATCTCAAGTTATACTATGTGTAAATGCACACACACACACATACACTCACTGTGTGTAGTTTCCCTGTGGCAATTGCGCAGAGTCATGTTTTTTGCTTTAGCATTTTATCAAGAAATCTGTCTCGCTTTGTGTGCCACAAATGTTGCAAGCTAAATGTATCTATAATTGTGTTTGATAATCTCTCATTAAAATCGACCCCCTGGAATAACAATCACACTAGCATTAACGGAAAGCGACTTACTCGATTTCGCTTATGATTCATTCTCAATGCGCTTGATTGACAACTCGAGCTGCCCTTCGATCTCTGACCAATTTGCATGTCACTGAAAACCGAAACAGAATCTCGCTTCGCGATTTACATATACTTGTGTAGTTGAGTACACGCATACATATATATAAATATATATATATATCTTTGAGATCACAGCTGAAAGCTGGAAATGAGTCAGCTCCACAGCTTCCAGTGCCACTTTGATTGTTGGTCTCGGAAAAGCTGTTGCCATTATAAATGTGCCACGAAATGTGTAAGAAATGCAGGTGCTCATAGGTATATCCAATAGCAAGCTGTACCATGTATATCCGGTATGCACAGTCTAGCTACTCTAGCTGTTCGGCTGACTTGGCTAACACTGTAGAGTTTGCAGTGTGAAGCTGTCTAGAATCGAACTACTATAGCATTGGTAAATTGATATGGGAACGATTGCTCAGCAGAGTTCAAGATAAAATAAGACTGCAATCATCATAATAATAATGAAACGGCTAATAGCAGTCAGTCAGGTTGTCACTCTGTCCGGAGTGTCGGACTGTATGCCATTGTTTTTACCGACTAGAAGACCTCCTCTTTTTTGGACTAGCTTGGGCTCTAACAAACTCAATTTTGTTGTTACTTAAGCAGCATCTCTGCAACAGCTCTAACTGTCCACGGCTATATTACGCACTGGCTCTGACGCCTTTGACTGTTGTGAGTGAGTCGTGATATCGGATCTCAACTATCGCCGTGGTGGGAGTCTTTAGTTTTCCTACAAGCCTCGACTGCATTTGTTCTCCGCCCTTTCCTTGTGCTTCTTACGTTTGTCTTCTCGTCTTGTTGGCGTGAGCACTGTTTGCTTCGCAGAACCTCTACGTAGCTGCGTCCCTCTTTAGGGAGGACCGTTTCCAATTGCGGAGTCCATTTTGTTTTGTCGTTTGTTGAGTGCTTCTTTTCTTTGGGTTTCTCTCCGCGTGCTGGAACAGCTCTCTCCGCTTTTTATCTCTAGATTCTCTAGATTTGGTTGCCAGACACACTGTGCGCTCCTGAAATATCCGAGATCATCCAGCATTTCGAATAGGTCAGATTCGCTGTTTTTGAGATCCAGGCTGATGTTACCGTCTAGAGCTTCATCATTCTCGGCGCGGAGTGTTGCCTGCGTGTTGCAAGTGTCAGCTTCAGCCATAGTTGCTCGCGATAATAATGCTCTTATAATAATATTTTATTGCAGTTTCTGTTTAAGGTAGCTTCTTAGTATTATTTGTGTGCTGTTATGTTCATTTGAGGGAAGCTGTGACAAAGACTGGAAGACACGAGCTTGATTCAGCTTTGCAAGCCTTTTTTTGCTGGGGCGTGCAATATTTTCTTTAGACTTTTACTTGGGTTTTGGTCTTGTTCTGAGTTTTTATCGGTAACAGCGAAGACAGCAGCACAACCGCTGATAGAGATAGAGATAGTGCGAGAGAGTCAAAGAGATTGAGATCGAGATCGAGATCGAGGCAGAGGCAGACAGAGAGCGAGCCATGTTCCAATTGACGTCCAATTCCAAATGATGTCATGTATAAGAACGACACCGAAAACGAAAACGAAAGGAAAAGCTAACAAAAAAAGAATCAGAAAGCAAGAGATAAACAACAAATATTATAATTTTATTATAACAAATAAATTGTCATGCTGAAATTTGCTAATTTAATGCTTTGCCTTTTTTCCTGCTTTTATCAGTTAACCTTTGACTTTAAATAACAATTAAACTGCTCCCCATACTCTTGGCTAATTAAAGTTTAGTAATTAGTTTATGTGCTCACGCTTAAACGAAGTATATACATATATACATACATACACATACATACACATATATGCATATATTTGTGAACACATTAAAAAACTGTTTGCTGTCGACAAACGTTTCCGTAACGCAGATAAAGTCGCGATAGTCAGCGCCAGACAATCCATTCTACATTGTATCTAAAATCAGTATATATATATATATATATATATATATATATATATATATATATATTGTATATGTACATAAGTCTGTGCATGCATGAGCTTATCTCGACTCAGTTGAGTTGGATAGATAAGTGAACTCTCAATAGCAGATGCTCAGCTAAGATTTAATGCAACAATCTGCATCTATTAAAATCGATTAATGGAGATTTCTAGAACTGGCAATTTCTGCTGTGACTAATGGCTAATAATCTAATGAAAAGCTACAATCTCCTTTTTATGATCCTGATCAAATTGAAAATGGGAATTTATAATATATTTTTATAAAGGACTTCTAAATATATATATATGCACGATATAATACAAGCTAGAGATTTGAGATTTTAATGCTATATATCTGTATATATCGTGGTACGATTTATCGAACTATTCTTATTATTAGTTTTAGTATATTTAGGATTTAGGATACATCCCTCTTTCTCAACGACTTTGGGTTGCATTACATGCATTGCCACGCGCTGGTTGATT